TGCAAAATGTCAGGGTTATTCCAGATGGGTGTGCATCTGCATGGGATTAGAGAAGTCTGCTATTATTTATGCTGCCAGAGAGGTGCTGATATTAATACTTTTACATTAATACTTTTAAAGCTTTCATGTATTTTTATGTTTGAGCTAATAAATGGTAGGTCCAAAAGCTCTCATTGCAAAGTGTCTGTTCCACAGCTAACCAGGACTCATCTAGTGAGTTATGTTGCGACCATCTTGGTATATATTGGGGCAGGTTGGCTAAGTATCAATAATAAAAGTTGGGTAGATCCAGTCCTGCTCTAGCTTTGGTCTTCTGAAGCGTTTTTAAGCTAATTCGTGGAGGTTTATCCTGCCAAAGTAATTTAGTGATTGAGGAGTCTAGAAACCAGGCAGATGGTGGCTTGTTTGGGATCACTGAAAATAAGTATTTTATTCTGGGTAAAACAATCATTTTTACTGTAGCAACCCTCCCCATGAGTGATATTGGTAGAGATTTCCATCTTGCAAGATCATCTTCCACTTTCTTTAAAAGTGGGATGCAGTTTAATTCTGCAGAAATCTGCCAGCTTCGGAGAAATATTAATGTCCAAGTATGTAATATTCCTAGCCTGGCAAGCCAGACTAAATAAATATATTAATTAGTGTGGGAATGCTCCATTGACAGCTCTCAGTCATTGGGCAGCTTCTACAGTTGTCTTTCAAACAATTTCCAAATGCTACTGGACATTGAACAACATGACGTACTCACCGCACCAGATTAGTCAACGAGGCAGTTTACTGTTCAAGAAGGCAAAAATACTTCCCTTTTCTAAATATATGACTTAAATACATCCATCTGTTCCTGATGTTAATAAAGCCCAAGTCCAAATAGACCAAAATTGATGAAAAAAACATTTCAAATGAGTTGTCGCCATCTTGTTCCACTCCATTGCATCATCCCACCCACTAAACCAATAGTGTGCCTTGATTAGCCCACAAAGCTGATAGAGCTCTTTGATTGGCCCATTATTGTGGACCAATCACAGCGCTATTGGTTTGAAATCTTGATAGAGAGCTGTGATTGGCCAGCCAGAATGCTGCTAGGGAGCCGCAGATGTTCCAATGGAGCAGTCACTAGGCTGCAATATTCCCTGACTCTAATTGTGTAATAGTCTCTTTCCACAGTATTTCTCTTATCCGATGGCACCATCTAGTGGCTGACAAGAATATCACACAAATAACTTCTATTTTTTTAAGATGGCGACTTAACGTTTCTAGTTTATAAATGTGCTTCTGTGGCCAACAGGGCTAAAACACGCTTTATAAATATTACTCTCATGTCATGTTGTGTTCTCATATATTTATATTTTAGAGATTTCTGTGAAAAGTTCATCAACTCTGCATCACCTGAGGTATTCCTCAAATTTTAAGCATGTAAGCAGTACTCTAATGCTATTGGTTAGTTCTGGTCTGCGCTCAGTTTCCTATTGCACGGAGCTCTGCGGGGCAGGGGGGGGTGCTTAGCAAAAAAAGACGTAATGCTTACATTGCATCACAGTACATGATAAGACCTACACTACGGATTTCTGAAAAACCATATGTAATTTCTGAAAGGGGAAAGATACTTTAAGGGAATTGAGAAAATAGAAATTAATTGGGAGAACTGTAGATTTTAACCAGTTTATTGAATAGTCTGAAACTCCTTTTCAGGAGTTTATCAATTCAATTGCTTGGGAGAAACAGGACTGAGAATGCTGGAGAAAAACTAACATCATCTGCATAAAGACTGATTTTATGCTCTATGTTCTTACTCATTATGCCTTTAATAACAGTAGTTTGTCTGATCACGGCTGCTAGTGGTGCAATGAAGACAGCAACAGAACATGATTTTTTTTTTTTTTTTTACCGTGTCCTGTCTGGCTGTGAAGCAAGCAGAATTGATGTCTGAATGCTGGTGACAAGCCTTACAGATTTACTCTCAGGTGGAGCATCAAAGCGTTTGCTTTTAATGTCACGCCTGATACTTAAAACTTTATTGTTATTGTTGTTGAATGCTTTGTAATTCCGACCAGACACGGAGACAGAGGTGAAAGAGAAAGGAAGAGAAAAGGTGGAGAGAGGGGGGGGGGGGGGTTCCACAAAAATAAACAATGAACAAGAGTCTGCTTCTAGACCTGCAGAAAAAGACAAAAAAAAAAAACAAAAGGACACAAAAAAAGGGACACAACAACAATACAACAAGATCTACCTATCACTGTGTCAACTTGATGAAAAAAAAAAAACAAAAAAACAATATATATATATATATATATATATATATATATATATATATATATATATATATATATATATATATATATATATAATCAATATTGCTTAACTGAAGAATCACGATAATAAATCACAACGCATTAAGTGCCCCCCATAGTCTTAAGACCTGTGTTGAACGTGCCCAAGCCCATACTTTTGAGAGCACCATGTGAGCACCTGTGTGTGTACACGCGCTTGTTTATGTAAGGTTTTTCTATAGGAGCGTCCAACAGAGAGTGTGAGGGACCACAGATCCGCCCCCCAAAGATGCACAGGAGACGGGGGGAGCTCCAAGTCCCAGAGATCCAGGCGTTGCCCCAGAATGCAGGAACCCCAAGGAGACTGCAACCAAAAAGGCCCCCGCCCCCCTCGAGAGGCACAGAGGATCACCCCGGGGGGCCACAACCAGCAGCCGGCAGAGTCCCTGGAGATATCAGCGGCAAGCCCACAGGCCCGCCCGCAGCCTCCCACCCCCTAGCCGGCCGAGCCCGGGACCCAGCGACCCGGGACCCAGGGGCGACCACCCCCGCCGGGGACCCAGCAGAGCCCAGGGACCCAGACCCCACCAGGCAGCCACCGGGATCTATCAGGCAGATGCCAAAATCTTAAACCCCCAGACCCGGTTGCCACGAACACTCAGGCAGACATGATTAGAAAACAGTTGAATAGCATGAAAAGCCACATGCATCACCTAAATGTATCCTTAGTTAAGCTATGATCAGTGAAATTTAATGTATTTAATATATATGTTCAGCAGTAAGCTTCTGGAAATGCAAGATTTCATTTCTACTGCTAAAATGAAATGGGTTAGTAATAATCCAGTTTAAATTATGTTCAAAGATAGATACATTTGTGAATTACATGCTACAGTGGCTTGCCAAAATCCTGCAGTGGTGTTGAGCAGAGCAGACTCGAATCAGCACCCTGACAGCAGCGGTTCCGCTGCATAGTGCTGCAGACAGCTAAGAATAAACAGGATGATTTGGATTTTCCTTCTACTTGTAGAGTTTAGATATTCTTAGTTTCACGACCATCGCGCGGATCATGAGTCTGCTACCGGCTAGCATTAGCTGATCTGCCCATAGTTGCACTTTTGATCCTAAACTTTGGACCGTTTCTGCTATTGTGTCTTTGCTGGTTCCTCTGTTATCCACCACAGCACCTAGATGAGCACATTGCACGCCAGTAAAAAGGATATTCCTTACACAATAACAAACAACATCCAACTTTTTCCTTTCTTAAAGAAGAACCTCTTTTAAAGCCTGGATACTGAATGGAGAGTGATGCTCAACTTGTCGCTTCAGAATTCCCCATAGGTGTTGGATTGGGTTCAGATCCAGAGACAAACTTGCCCATTCAATCACCTTCACCCTGTTCTTCTGTATAAATGCATCAGTAGCTTTAGATGTGTGTTTTGGATCGTGAAGTGATGGCAGCATCTTCTCCTTCAGTATAGAGCATTACATTGTTGAGTTCATGATATCATCCATGAGATGCAGCTCCCGAACACCAGCAGCACTCATGCAGGCCCACATAAGGACACCGCCACCACCGTGCTTCACTGTAGGCACCATGCATTTCTCTTTGAAATCCTCACCTTTACGATGCCATTCAGTTTTCAGGGTTTCCCCAAATGCTTTATAAGCGCTGTGCTTGGTCACTCACAAGGCTAAGCGCGGTCCCACCCCTCTACCCGGCCCTACCTTCTCTGCCGACACAGACGGCAGCGAAATGAACAGTGAGCCTCCCCTCAGCTGATACTGACGAGAAACAGTAGCTGAGCAATCCTTTTTGTGTGTAAAGAAATTAGTTCCTATCTCAGATTTTGTAACATTTCTCTTCTATGTGGAGCCGTTGCTGACAGCATGAAATGGGAGGGGCTTTTCTTTATTAAGTAGTCACCTGTCTGCTGGACACCTCTTAAATCATTGATCTGACAATCCTCTGTTTTAGTCTAAAACAAATAAAGGAACAGTAAAGCTACACAATGTAACGCCAAGTCAATCACACTTCTGTGTAATCAAACTGTCCAATTAGCAAGCAACACTCATGCAATCTTAACCCTAATAAATCTTCTCAGTTCCCTACAAAAGGTGCAAAATGTGAGCATCAACAGAAACCCTTGTTGGGATTGCAGAACAGACAGCGGCAGCCATTTCATTTCTTTCACCTGCACATTTTTGAGAAATGGTTGTTGGGAATGCTGGACTCATTCAATATGAAGCAGTACCCTCGTAGCTCTGGAGGTAGAGCGGGTTGTCCAGTAATCAGAAGGTTGCAGGTTTGATCCCAGTTCTGCCAGAGAGTGCTGCTGTTGTGTCCTTGGGCCAGACGCTTAACTCACCTTGCCTGCTGGTGCTGATCGGAGGCACCAGTGTTCATTAGGGCAGCTGTGGCAACATCGTAGCTTATCCCCACCAGCGTGTGTGTGAATGGGTGAATGACTGTGTTGTGATGTGCTTTGGGGGGTTGTATATCCCTAAGAAGTCACTGTACAAATACAGGCTATTTGCAATTTACCATTCTGACTCCTCCCCCCACCACCACCCTAAATTTACCAGGACTGTTTTCTGGGGCCCTAGTAATATATCTGGCCCAGTCCTTTAGTGGAAACACTCAGGGAAAAGAATGGCCCCAGGAAACTGCCCTGATTCCTGGAAAAGATGAAGTGGAACTATGTCTCGATTTAGACTTGTCATTGGAGTACCCACCTGAGAGTAGGCTGACTGCGTGACCTTCTTCAAATCATCTTGCGCTCCTGTGGTGATGCGGCCGAAGAAGACCTGCTCGGCCACACGCCCCCCCAGCATCATGCACATCCTGTCAAACAGCTGCTCTTTGGTGTAAAGGTACTGCTCTCTGGGTAGATATTGTGCATAACCCAGACCTTTCCCCCGTGGGATGATCGACACCTGGACATGAAAAAGCAATTTCACAAAATTATAGAAATCATCCTTTATATGAGCTACTGGTACAGAAAACAGCTATTGCTGTAAAACAACTACTGGTCCTACCCCACACAAAACTGTTGAGTAGGCCTGAAACGATTCCTCGAGTACCTCGAATAATTCGAGAACAAAAAATCCTCGAGTCAAATTCTCTGCCTCGAGGATTAGTTTAATACATGTTTAATTAATTCATGGCTTTGCAATCGCCCAGGATCATGTTTCACCCAGACCGAAATAAGTGACGCACATACACACTGCATTGAATGCACACGCGAGTAGCGAATGTAACTTAACTGCCATGGCGGACAACGTGGACCGGTGGAGTGTGAAAAAGACAGAAAATGTCAAAGATGTGGGACCAATGCTGCAGCACCAGACCAGGAAACATCCACATGTAAATGTCACTTTTGCAAGCGGACTCGGAGGTCTGCTATATATTCTGCGGACACTGTGCGACTTTTTCGTTTGTAGCACTCAGTTTCAGCTCACACTGTGCGTATGGTAGCAACACGGCGGACCTAAAAATGTGCCAAAAATAGCAGTTTTTACACAACACGTCAGACTTTTTATTGTGTTGTTATTGATGTCTGTTGTCCCTCGGGATTGCTGCAGGAGGACACAGGTTTTTATGAGAGTGGCGGTGGAAAACGAAAGAAAGTAAATAAATGTTGTGTGATCAGTATAATTTGACACAACCACGGCAAACCTGCTTTCTCGACAATCCTTGTTATTGTGTGAGAAAAAAAAGTGTAGAAATTAAAATGGACGTGTGTTAATAGGGAAATAGCGAGCCATGTTTACGCATGCGCCGCGAGCGGTTCTGGTGTCATTTGGGCCGCAGCCGCTCGCAGCACTACTTCAACAGTTATCCTCCTAGCTTATAGATTCTCACACGAGGGGAAAATCGGCTCAGGTTGTATACTTATTTTTTGCACAGGCATTATTTTACTGTGAAGTTGAAGTGCTGAAGTTTTGAAAACTAATTTTGAATAAATATTTCCATTTTGTTCACCTACTGATATTTACTCGGTCTTCATTCCATTTTGTATGAGACCTGTACATTTTTCAAGTAGCATGTATGGCATACAACCAGATGCTTGCATTAGTGGACATACGTGTTCTTTAAGAAAATTAGAATGAGTTTAACTTTCAAATTAGGTCAAACTTAAGTCATTTCTTTCCGAGGTCTGCATTTACTGCAAAAAAAACAAAACAAAAACAACAACAAAAAAAAATAAAAATGTGTGTGTAACACTAACATGTGTTAGTTAAGTACTCATTGTGACATGTGTTAAATTTCAGAACACGTACTGTATTTTATATGAATGCATGGTGTTGCTCAGAAAGGGTTTGAAATATTTTTCAAGAATGTTCTATGGAAATAGTATACTTCGGCAGTTGTATGGTCCTGAAACCACTTTATTATTTGCACTTTACCTAATACATCCAGCCTACTTTAAGTTACTGGCATTGAAGTTGAACATTGCTCATAGATTTTATTTTTTACCAGGTGTTGTTTTACTTATTTGTTTTGAAATCATTCACTGGCCTGACTTGATTAAAATAGTGTTTAAAAATTACATTGTATTTGAGTTTGAATTATATTTTGTACGTTAACGTAGATTCTCAGTCATCCGGGACATGATAATCTTGAGATTTGAAATTAAAGCAACTGTACTTTTTTCTTGAAGTCCAGCTTCTTAACTCTTAAAGAGCAAGTCACCCCTACCAGAGTCTTACTCCAGTCCCACTTCCTGTTTGAAAAATGCAACAAATGCTGTTGCCTTGCCTGGCAGACGAGAGGGCAGAGCCACTAACAAATACACGCACATACAGGCTCGCAACGAATTTGTGACATCATAAGGTACCAGCTAAGCAATAGGGTACCTCTTAGCCAATGACGATGTCAGGTTTAAATTCAAATGCAATGCAGAGTTTTTACCTGAAGAGGGCGCAACACTGACAGTTTTAGGCTGAATACTTAAATTTGAACTAATATGTACTAAAGTGCCAAATTATTGACTGCACATGTCTACAGCACGATTAGACACTCATTTATATGATTTATCAGCAAAAATATGTTGATTTGGAGGGTGACTTGCTCGTTAAAACTCAAGATTAGATTTTGTACAGCATTTTTAAGAATATATTTTAAATAACTAAAAAGTTACTTGTAACAGTAACTCATTTCTTTTTGATGTGAGTAATCAGTAAAGTAACTAAGTTACTTTTTGAATGAAGTACTTAGTAACTGTAACTAGTTACTTTTTTCAGTAACTAGCACAACACTGGTTGCTAACCGCTTAAACATTCTCCCTCTCCTGATAATAACATTTTACGCTCTTTGACGTTCAATGTGCTACTACTAGTTTACCCGTTTAATTATAGATTCACTACGATAAATACAATAAAAGTTGATCTCTCGCCAAACAGAATATTTACTAAGAAATCACAATGTAACCATAGAAACACTACTTGGTAAATATGTTGTGTGTGTGGATGTGTTTGTGTGTGGGTGGGCTGGTGTTGGTGTATGCTGTCTTCTTCATCCCCAGTGATCTGTTCTCAATTAGGCACAACCGTAGGCTGTACAAAAATAGGAATAGTTGCTCAATGTGTGTAGACTTCACTTGGGTTTGCCAATCAGCATAAAGCTCATTTAACATTCATGTCTTGGCCAAGTGGGCGGTAGGGCTTCATTATAGTTGAATTTGGCCAATTATCGGGCTCCTGAGCCATTTTGAGCCCTAATAAAGTTACATGTGCTTTATAGAGGATGAAAGAATAGTTCCCAATTGTAAAAACACCCACTTGTTGGCATCTCACCATCACTGTCGAAGGACTAAATTAGACCTAATCACCCCCTTCACCCTATGAAACAGATACACAAATGGAAAGAAGATGGAAATAGTATCGGTTGTTACTATTGTCTCAGTTTTACCTATCAGACCAATACGATATGTTAAAGAAATTACTAACACTGGCCATTACCGATATTGACGCTGATATATCGTGCTTACTTAGATTAAACAGTGTTTGGACTACATGCCATTTAGTCTATGGAATTTAATTCAAATGGCTCCCGCCTCGATTACTGCAATGCCCTTCTAACTGCTCTTCCAGGCTGTACTGTGAGACCTCTTCAAATGGTCCAGAACGCAGCAGCGCGTCTGGTCTTCAATCAGCCAAAAAGAGCACACGTCACCCCTCTGTTCATTGAGCTCCACTGACTACCGCTAGCAGCACGCATCAAATTCAAATTGCTAACACTAGCATACAAAGTCCAAGATGGTACGGCTCCCATCTACCTGAATCCTCTTGCAAAGGCTTACGTCTTGGCCCGGCCGCTTCGGTCATCACAGGATCGTCGGCTAGCAGTGCCTACACCACGCTCAGGACAATCCAGACTTTTCTCATGCATCGTTCCACAAATGTGGAATGACCTTCCAAGCACTACCAGAACTGCGGCTTCCTTTTCAATTTTCAAGAAACTCCTGAAGACCCTGCTCTTCAGAGAGCATCTTCTTAACTAGCACCCTCCCTGCACCTGTCCCCCCTCTCTACTGTCCACTCCTTGTTCCCTACTCTCCATGATTGATGTCAATGTTGTTGTTGTTATTGTTGTTGTTAGCCTCAAGGGCAACATGCCGATTATCACTTGTAAGACGCTTTGGACAAAAGCGTCTGCTAAATACATAAACATAAACAAAGCATTTATTTTACACTGTCTTGATTTAATGTTTACATTGGTTTTTTCTAGATTACACAGTCTAGACTACCTAGTCTCAGTACCTTGAGCAGAGGGTCAACGTGCTGAAGGAACCATCCAGCAACAGCATGACCAGCCTCATGATATGCTACAGTCTTCTTCTCTGTGGGCTGCAGCACTTGGGTCTTCTTCTCCAGACCTGAACACAAGTCATTAAACATAAAACATTCAAGAATAAATGTTTTCAGGTGTTTTGTGCCAACTCCACCCATTATTGTAAACTTACCGCCAATGACCCTATCAATCGCCTGCTCAAAGTGTGTGTGGCTGACAGCAGGACTCAGGTACCGAGCAGCAATCAGAGCTGCCTCGTTGCAGACATTAGCAATGTCAGCACCTGGATCAAAAAACAAAACAAAACAAAAAAGATCATCCCATGATTTATTTGACCCCAAAAACCTAATGTGGATCAGACAATCTGGGTTGACTTTATTAAATCCTTTAGGTTAATGTGGACTGGAGAGCTAACCTGATCTTACCAGAACAACCAATCAGCTCCAGACCAGTCTTATCTCATCCATTTTGGAAATCAGAAAAAAAAAGTCTGATTTGTGCTTGTGTATAGACCACCTGGTCTTTATTATGAATTTTCAGACTGACTTTGTACTGAACAATGACAGTCAGATGTTCGTCCACTCCTGCCCCTGTCATCTTCTGCTGTCGTAGACATGGCTGTACGGTGTTGAAGGCACTTGGGAAGTCGAAGAACATGATTCTCACAGTGCTCTTTTGCATCTCGAGGTGAGTCAGAGCCCAGTGCTGCAGGTAGATGAGCACGTCCTCCACCCCCATGTTTGGTTTATGTGCAAATTGCAGTGGGTCGATTCCCGGGCTCACAACTGAACATAGGTAGGTGGTCAAGGTGAAATGTGTGACGCGGTAAAACATCGGCACCTACATAGGCCCGGTAGGCCCACCCACAACGCCGCGGCTGCCAGTGTTTTCTGGCAAGACTCTCCCAGTGTGAAAAGGACCACTTTGAAGTTCACGAGTAAACCGTTCCGCGCAGCCGATGCTTCCAGTGTGAGACCAGCGTTATTGTTTGATTGTGTTTGTTTGTTCAGCCTCAGTTGGACATTAAGTTCTTCCATGGCACTAAAATGCTCTTGAATGACTGTAAAGGAATCTGAATAAAAATAAAGAAAGCATGACACACCCGTGAATCCTGGTGTGGCAGCGGCCATTTTCCTGGCAAGAGCGTCCTTGTCCAGACTGGGATCCAGTTTGATTGGTTGAAGGTGGACTTTGAAGATGGATGCTCTACCTTTGATGTCTGGAGGTCCTGAAAGTAAATTTAAAAAGAAGAAAATTTGTTTATTTACATTCAAAACATTAGTGTGTGTGTGTGTGTGTGTGTGTGTGTGTGTGTGTGTGTGTGTGTGTGTGTGTGTGTGTGTGTGTGTGTGTGTTTTTGTTTTTGTTTTTTGTGTGTGTCCTGTCTGGCTGTGAAGCAAACAGAATTGATGTCTGAATGCTGGTGACAAGCCTTACAGATTTACTCTCAGGTGGAGCATCAAAGCGTCTGCTTTTAATGTCACGACTGATACTTAAAACTTAATTGTTACTGTTTTTGAATGCTTTTTAATTCCGACCAGACACGGAGATAGAGGTGAAAGAGAAAGGAAGAGACAAAAGGTGTGTGTGTGTGTGTGTGTGTGTGGGGGGGGGGGGGGGGGGGGATTCCACAAAAATAAACAACAATGAACAAGAGTCTGCTTCTAGACCTGCTGAAAGAGAGAAGAAAAAAAAATTGGGACACAACAACAATACAACAAGATAAAGCTATCACTGTGTCAACTTGATGAAGAAATATATAATCAACATTGTTTAACTGAACAATCACACGGTAATAAATCACAGTGCATTAAGTGCCCACCATAGCCTTAAGACATGTGTTGAACGTGCCCAAGTCCATACTTATGAAAGCACCATGTGAGCACCTGTGTGTGTACACACGCTTGTTTATGTAAGGTTTCTCTATAGGAGATCTGCCCTCTAACGATGTGCAGGAGACGGAGGGAGCTCCAAGTCCCAGAGATCCAGGAGCTGCCCCAGAGCACAGGAACCCCAGGAAGACTGCGACCAGAAAAGCCCCCGCCCCCCTTAAGAGGCGCAGAGTTTAAACATGTTTTAAAAAGAAACGTGTGACAAAAGTGGCACCTGCTCAGTAAAACCACCAACAGGGTGAAAAATATCAAAAATATTGTAGGCAGAGACGGGCTACAAAATCTGGATCCATTTTATACTAATCGTTTTATTGATTAACGTCTGTTGAAAGATAACTTTGACGTACACGAGTGGCCGATATTAGCTGCTGTCACCTGTTGTGATTGGTTAAAGCAGCTCTCTGCTGCGGCTCCCAGTGTTTTCTTTACAGTGGGAAATGGGTAATAATGGCTCTTTGATGGGAACAGGTTGTCAACCCCTGTCCTAGGTGGACACGGAGCGGTCCCTGTGGTTGGTCTGCTCACTTCTTTTCTTTTTGCGGTGTTGGAGACGTCTTAACAGCGTTTCACACCGTGGTTAATAAGTCAAACCGGTTAATCCTTGAAACCCTATTTGTACCATCACCTTGTTAAGGCCTTTTTACTCACAGCCCACATGAGTTTGTAAGAGTTTGTTGTCTGCCAAGTGTATTTAATAAATCAATACGTTTTCTTTTAAAAGTACAGTTGAACAAGGATATGGAATGCCTACCGATGTAAATCTGCCTGTCAAAGCGTCCTGGTCTCATTAATGCAGGATCCAGGATGTCCGGTCTGTTGGTTCCAGCCAGCACCACCACGTTGGTAGCAGTATTAAAACCTAGAAAAACATATAATAGGAGAAAACATAAACAGGAGCAAAGAAGATGTACAGCACCTGGACAAAGCATTCACACCCCTTGAAATTTTAATGAGACTAAATCACACACACGTGAGCTCTGTAATATAATTAGGTGACTTATTGACTGCAATGGATATTACTTAGAGGTATCAGAGTACAGGGGAGCTGAAAAAAAAAGCCCTCCTGCACTCACTCCGTTGGGGGAATGGGCCCGGTTAGCTTGGTCGCCCCATGCTGGCTGTCCTTAGTGGGGTGCTGGGGTGGGCCCTCGGGGCTTGGGGTAGTCACACTCTGGGTTGGTCTGTATCGGTGAGGGTGACGGTGTGCTGGGCTTGGCAGCCCTTAATGGGTTCCCTTTGGCTGCCCCCCCCCCCCCCACCACCACCACCACCAGGGAAAATTCCAGGGGGGATCGTAACTAGATGCCCGAGCCACCTCAGCTGGCTCCTCTCAGTGTGTAGGAGCCCAGCCACCCTGCGGAGAAAACTAATTTCAGACGCTTGTATCTGCAATCTCATTCTTTTGGTCACTACCCAAAGCTTGTGACCATAGGAGAGGGTTAGAACGTAGATTGGCTGGTAATGGCGTACTGATTAAACTTCGCTCAGCTCTCTCTTCACTATGAGGTTGGTACAATGCCCACATCACTGCAGATGCAGCACCATTACGCCTGTCGATTTCACGCTCCATCTTTCCCTTACTTGTCAGCAAGACCCCGAGATACTTAAACTCCTCCACTTGAGGCAGGACCTCATCCCTGACCCAGAGAAGGCACTCTACTCTTTTCCGACTCAGGACCATGGTCTCTAACTTAGAGGAGATGATTCTCGTCTCAGCTGCTTCAGACTCTGCTGCGACCTAACAGCCCGTATCCAAGGGCCTGGTACCCCATACTCCCGGAGTACCCCCACATAGCCCCCCAAGGGGTGCAGTGGAATGCTTTCTCCAAATCCACAAAACACATGTAGATTGGTTGGGCAAACTCCAACGCACCCTCCAGGACTCTCCTAAGGGTGTAGAGCTGGTCCAGTGTTCCATGGCCAGAACGAAAACATCATTGCTACTCCTAAATCTGAGGTTCGACAATCTGCCAGATTTTCTAGTCCAGAACCCCTGAAAAGACCATATCAGGAAGGCTCAGGAATGTGATCCCACTGTAGCTGGAACACATCCTGCGGTCCCCCTTTTTAAATAGGGTGACCACCACCTGGGTCTGCCAATCTAGTGGAATTGCCCCTGATGTCTACACAATAATGCAGAGCTGCGTCAGCTCAACCCTACAACATCCAGAGCCCTCAGGGATCTCTGGGCAGTTCTCGTCCACCCCCGGAGCCTTGCCACCAAGGGGCTTTTTAACCACCTCAGTGACCCTGCTTTGTCTTTAGAAGACATGCCAGTGGGATTGAGGAGGTCTTCGATGTACTCCGCCCACCGATCCACAACGTCCCGAGTCGAGGTCAGCAGCACACCATCCCCAATATAAACAGTGTTGGTAGCACACTGCTTTCCCCTCCTGAGGCGCCGGATGGTGGACCAGATTGTCCTCAAAGCCGTATGGAAGTCCTGCTCCATAGTCTCACCTAACTCCTCCCATGCCCTTTACATACACAACATTTAAAATCAAAACCAAAACAAAAGCCTTTCAAACACATAGCGATTCACATAAACACATCTGCACACAAACACATAAACATGACATTCTAAAAAATATAGCCTAAGTCACGCCCATCTATTTCCGCACCATGGGTCCCCGGAAGAATGACAAAATGAATGCAAGTCAACGGGGCTAAAAGCTCTATTTTCTAACTCCACTTGTTTCATACCATGGATTTCACATGTGATGTCCGTGAATTTAAAAGACATATTTGATAACAAGAAATTGCTTCTTTTCGAACGGGGGAAACGCAATATTATGGTTTGTGTGAAAATGACTCCAGGACTACAAATGTGCTTCACGGAAGTGACGTCATCAAACCAGACACGGACAAAACTGAGGGAAAGAGCTGTAAGTTCACCAAAGATTAAATCCTTCCTTCAGGAGGAAAGAACCACCATAAATCTGGCCATGTGGTAAGTAGCAGCTACGTTAGGGGGGAGGAGATTGTGCCACATGCCGATTTTTAGTTTGTAGACATGCTATTTACAAAATTTTACAAGCTGATAAATCCCAAAGTACATGACTGGCATGGTCGAAACACCCAGCATTACTTTTCATTCAAAATGAAGTACAACATATGTGTGATCAAGGTCTAAGGCAAAGCGGATTAGAAAATAGCTCTTTTAGTCCAGTTGACATACACTGAACAAAAATATAAATGCAACACTTTTGTTTTTGCTCCTAGTTTTCATGAGATGGACTTAAAGACCTAAAAATAATTCCAGATACACAATACCACCATTTCTCTCAAACTTTGTTCACAAATCAGACTAAATGTGTGATAATGTGCTTTGCTGAGATAATCCATCCCACCTCACAGGTGTGCCACATCAAGATGCTGATCTGACATCATGAGTAGTGCACAGGTGTACCTCAGACTGCCCACAATAAAAGGCCACCCTGGAATGTGCAGTTTTGTCTCACAGCAAAATGCCACAGATGCTACAAGCATTGAGGGAGTGTGCAATTGGCATGCTGACAGCAGGGTATGTTGGCCAGGTCATCAACTGTAGGAGTCAATGTACTCTTTGCTTCTCCCAAGATCTCCTTCCCACCTGTGACTGTTCAGTAGATGAGCGCCGTAGATGGCTTCTCTCGTTGGGGGAAAGAGGATCCCAGCCCCCCCCCCCCCCCCTCCCCCCCCCCCCCTCCCCCACCTTCCTATTGGAGTCTCATGTTATGTTGTGTTGTCTGAAGTCTGATGCATATCTGTTCAGGTGTTTCTTTAGCAGAGCAAAGCTGCCCTCCTGGTGGAGGGTAACTCTGGAGTGCATTTTTTTCCCTCCACCTGAACCAATCCTCATGTAACCCTCTTATCTCTATTAAGGTAGCGCAACTCGGGTTGCGAATGACCACAGTCACCATTTCTTGTCACGTGTCTTGCCCATGTATCTCTGATCTCTGAATTGTGTGTACTCAAACTCTAATTTCCCTCTGGGGTTAATAAAGGATTGATTGATTGATTGATTGATTGACTGATTGATTGATGTTGAAGACATTTAGCCTCTCGTCCTAGAGTCTCCTTCAGGTCCCAGACTCGGGTTGTTGTCAGAAACAAACACCAATTCTGCTGCAAGTCTTTTTTTTACTTTAATGAAAACATGTTTAATTTCTAAATGAAGGTGATGATATTGGTCATTCAATTGTCAATCTTTAAAACAAAGTTTTTGGATCCTGCCACTTGAAAGAATCAGAATCGGGAGTCGATTGGAACCGGAATCATTAAAATTCAAACAATGCCCAACTGTAGTGAAAATGAGTTTTAAGAGGTATGAATACTTTCACTGTTACCTTTAAACTTTAAGATCAAACCAGAATGTTGTCGGCCTACCGTCCATCTCCACCAGCAGCTGGTTCAGGGTGTTCTCCTGCTCACTCTGACCTCCAAAGTTCCCTCCACCTCTCTTTCTCCCAACAGCATCAATCTCATCAATAAAAAGGATGCAGGGTGCATTCTTCCTGGCCATGGCAAACATGTCCCTCACCTTCACATCAGATAGCACACTTAACTTCCAGCAGAAGGAGCTTTTCATTGCACAGAAGGGTTGGTTTAGATCACTCACCCTGGCAGGACCAACACCCACAAACATCTCCAAGAACTCAGATCCATTTACTGCAATGAAGGGAACGTTGGCTTCTCCTGCTGTGGCTTTTGCTAGCAGAGTCTTTCCTGTTCCAGGAGGTCCTGACAACACCGCGCCCTGACAAAACACACACAACCTCATTTAACCAACGTTACCTACAGCAACAGACCCTCTCCCCCTCGAACCTCACCTTAGGGATCTTGGCTCCAAGATCCTGGTACTGCTGTGGGTTCTTCAGGAAGTTGACAAACTCAAGGATCTCCAGCTTAGCCTCTTCACACCCAGCCACATCCTTAAATTTCACTTCAATGTTTTCCTTCATCATCTTGGCTGTCGACTCACTCATGCTGAAGGGGCTCCTCCCACGACCGCCAGCTCCTCCAATTGAACTTCGTCGCAGTGTTAACAGCAGGAAGCCAATTAGCAACAGGGAGGGGATCATGCTCATGAGGAAAGAGCTGAGAAGATCCACAGAAAAACATTAGTTCCAGCTGTAGTTAGGGCCCACAGGTACTATGCATTTGTGCAAGGATGAATGCAAGTGTGTGGAATAAAGTCACCCATCACTCTCGGTGCTGTAGACAACAGCAGCTCGATGCGATGGCTCCAGACCAAGCTCCAGGTGAGCAGCTTCAAGGTTCCTCTCAAACGTATCAACGCTGCCTATGTTGAACCAGACATAGCTCTGCAGACATATGATTCAATTCTGTTATCAGTGAACAGAGAGAGGCATCACGATAAACGATAAATGACCCGCACTTGTATAGCGCCTCTCAGAGTAAGGACTCCAAAACGCTTTACACTACAGTGTATCATTCATCCATTCACACACACATTCACACACTAGTGGGGATGAGCTACGATGTAGCCACAGCTGCCCTGGGGCGCACTGACAGAGGCGAGATAACGTGGGGAGTTACTGCTGAGCCATGGCCGGCAACTACATTGAAAATGAAAGTAAACGCGGGCTGTAAGAGATGCTTTTGTGAACGGAACCAGCAGACTGCAGCGGGACTGTGGACGACAGCCCCCTTTAGGAGCAGCTTATTAAAAGACGTAACTATCGCGGCTTCGATTGCAATAAAAAGCTAGCTATGTCCCAGACAAAAAGACATCTCAGCAGTGATGGGACCGCTCCCATACCCCCTTTATGCCACCATTGCTTAGAGTTCTTAAAAAAATAAAAAAAATAAAAGCTCAGTAAACTTCTTAAAATGTTCAAACCACCTCTAACAGTGGGCGGGCAGCGGCGAGCAGTCAAGCCAGCGTTCACCTTGGCGTGATGTTTCATAAAAAGGACATGACTGTGTCATGACTCCCATCCTTCACCCTCCTCCACTTCCTCATTATACCTTCATTCAGCTCACCTGGTTCCTCTCACCAAGCTCCAGCCAAGCCCTGCTTTCCCCAGCAACCTGTCAGCTTCAATCAGCTCCATTCATTCCACCTGCTCCTGTAATCAGCCTCATCCCATTCACCTGCTCCTCCTGCTATAAAAGAACCAGCCATCCAGTCAACAGATGCCAGATTATTACAGCCTTGCCAGTAGTTCTCCAGCCATCCACCCTGCCTGATCTTTGCCTCTGGACCTTGTTTTTTGCCTGACCCCTGCCTTGCTCTCTGCCTGCCACTTTGACCTTAGCCTGCCTCTGAACCTGCCTCAGCCTTGCCCTCCAGGTACCTCTGCATTAAATAAAGACTTTTTATATATATTTTTACTGTGTTGGCGTCTTCACGGGTCTTCTGAGTTCTGTTTGTGACAGAATAATCTGGCCAAAAATCTGACCCAACGCTGACACAGCACTTGGAGTATTTTTTTTCTTCTTTTTTTTTCATCGTACCTGTCATGGAGGATCTCACGCTCCTGGAGTTTATGGAGCTAGAGAAGGAGCAGGAGTCACCGTTCTGGGGAACGCGGCTGGCCATCAGGCCAGAGCCACGCAGAGGCTCCACTCCTCTGTCCAGGCCTGCTGCAAACGTCTTGTGCAGCGGGTTCATGACCACGCCGCTCCAGCCTCAAACCCCTCCTGTCAGGTCACGACGGCGGCGGTCCCGGAGGTTTTCTGGAGCTGATAAGAGGGTTAATCCTTCTCCCGTGCTGGTGTCGGCGGGTTCCACGGACGGCACCTCATGTTCTGCTTCTGGACCGGTCCCGACGGAGGAGATTGTTCAGGGGATGATGCAGATGGTCGAGGAGGCTGTGTGGGAGGTCTTTGCCAAGCCAACCTGCCCCCACTTACGTCTGCGGGCGGCTGATAGGTTAAATGTCATCTTCTCCACCCATCCAGAGTTGATAGCGGTCCCAGCACTTGGTAATTACTACCTTTATGTCCGGAGGGTATGTCAAAGTTGGGACAGTTTATGCAGTGTTCCTTTACTGTGCAGAAGTCGGTTTTCCTTTAGGTATCAATTGCATGTTGTTGTTCCAATTATTAGTGCATGTTATTCTTTTCTGAGATGTTTATTTGTTTATTTGCATGGATTTGTGTTTTCCTGTTATGAGCACAGAAAATGAACTTCTGATTGAGAGCAGCTCCGCCGCTCATAATCACGGACTAATGCGGCTTGGGATTGGACAATCGCGGGATTGGGACTTAATATAAAGACGCTGACAGGTGTGTGTAAAAAGGAGAGACACAGAGCAAAGCCGTCACAGAGTAACCGGGCAGGGGAAGAGACACAGAGCAAAGCCACCGCAGAGTAATCGGGCAGCAGCGGGACTCGCGTTCCTGGAACCACGTTGAGTTGCGGTACCAACGCTTTCTATCTCCTGGGAGAGATTAGAGGACGCCGTGGAAGGATCCAGCCGTGACATCAGAATCATTCAACGCCCGCCAAACAGCTAAGTGAAGGGACGTGAAATATTGTGGCTATTTCCTGCGTGCCTGCGGATTCTGGGAGGGAAGTGAACGCCCTCCTGAGCTGTGTCTTGTGTTTTCCTCGCAGCGGCAGAACCGGAGCCAGGGAGGGAAGAGGAGCGGGGCAGCGGCCCACCCCGACTGATGACGAGCTGGAGCAGACGCAATCCGTGACGAAGCCCAGACGAGGGGGGCTGGGCCCTAGCCTGGAGATTTCTAAAAGCACCAGAGACTGAAGGGAGGCCCCTGCAGGACAGTAAAGAGAACGCACCAGAGCTCCAGTTGGTGGGAGCGACTGTTCTTTTCTGAACAGCAAAGACAGTTCTTTTTACATTTTGTTCAGACTGTTTTAAAGAGTTCCTTTTATATTTTTTCTTAACAGGCAGTTTTAGAATAAAACTTTTGGATCACACTTTGGTTTTAGTCTTCCTATAGCAGTGGAACTCTCATTAATGCTGGAATCCGGGAACCTGCTTGGTGACAGGTATATGGGTCTGCACTGAAGGATGTCGCCATGGAGGGTCTGACCTGCTGTGAGAGGTGGTCACCTTCCCCAGAACCCTCCAACGTGTCGCATCCTGCTCCGGCGGTGGTCCCGGTGGACGCATCGCATCCTGCTCCGGCGGTGGTCCCGGTGGACGCATCGCATCCTGCTCCGGCGGTGGTCCCGGTGGACGCATCGCATCCTGCTCCGGCGGTGGTCCCGGTGGACGCATCGCACCCTGCTCCGGCGGTGGTCCCGGTGGACGCATCGCACCCTGCTCTGGCGGTGGTCTCTGAGGACGCATCGCACCCTGCTCTGGCGGTGGTCCGGGAGGACGCATCGCACCCTGCTCTGGCGGTGGTCCGGGAGGACGCATCGCACCCTGCTCTGGCGGTGGTCCGGGAGGACGCATCGTACCCTGCTCTGGCGGTGGTCCGGGAGGATGCATCGCACCCTGCTCTGGCGGTGGTCCGGGAGGACGCATCGCACCCTGCTCTGGCGGTGGTCCAGGAGGACGCATCGCACCCTGCTCTGGCGGTGGTCTCGGAGGACGCATCGCACCCTGCTCTGGCGGTGGTCTCGGAGGACGCATCGCACCCTGCCCTGGCGGTGGTCTCGGAGGACGCATCGCATCCTGCCCTGGCGGTGGTCTCGGAGGACGCATCGCATCCTGCCCTGGCGGTGGTCTCGGAGGACGCATCGCATCCTGCCCTGGCGGTGGTCCGGGAGGACGCATCGCATCCTGCTCTGGCGGTGGTCCGGGAGGACGCATCGCATCCTGCTCTGGCGGTGGTCCGGGAGGACGCATCGCATCCTGCTCTGGCGGTGGTCCGGGAGGACATATCGCATCTTGCTTCGACGGAAGAGGTCCAAGAGGCCCCAGCCCAGCCTGTCCAAGGGGCTCCGGCCCAGCCTGTCCAAGGGGCTCCGGTGAAACCTTTCCACGAGCCTCCAGTCCAAGGGTCGACACCTCCAGGCTCTGAAGAGGACCTCTCCTGCCCCTGCTCTGAAGAGGACCTCTCCTGCCCCTGCTCTGAAGAGGACCTCTCCTGCCCCTTCTCTGAAGAGGACCTCTCCTGCCCCTTCTCTGAAGAGGACCTCTCCTGCCCCTGCTCTGAAGAGGACCTCTCCTGCCCCTGCTCTGAAGAGGGCCTCTCCTGCCCCTGCTCTGAAGAGGACCTCTCCTGCCCCTGCTCTGAAGAGGACCCCTCCTGCTCTGAAGAGGACCCCTCCTGTTCTGAAGAGGACCCCTCCTGTTCTGAAGAGGACCTCTCCTGTTCTGAAGAGGACCCCTCCTGCTCTCAAGTTCCCCAGTCTCAAGTTCCCCAGTCTCAAGTTCCCCAGTCTCAAGTTCCCCAGTCTGTGTCCCCTCAAGTCCCAGAGTCTGTGTCCCCTCAAGTCCCAGAGTCTGTGTCCCCTCGTAGTCTTAGTCGTGGTCCAGTGTCCCCTCGTAGTCTTAGTCGTGGTCCAGTGTCCCCTCGTAGTCTTAGTCGTGGTCCAGTGTCCCCTCGTAGTCTTAGTCTTAGTCTTGGTCCAGTGTCCTCTGTCACCACACTCCCACGGTCCCGGCTCCTGGTTCCCCGTCGCCGGCCCCCCAGACTCCCACGGTCCCGGATCCTGGTTCCCCGTCGCCGGCCCCCCAGACTCCCACGGTCCCGGCTCCTGGTTCCCCGTTGCCGGCCCCCCAGACTCCCACGGTCCCGGCTCCTTGTTCCCCGTCGCCGGCCCCCCAGACTCCCACTGTCTCGGCTCCTGGTTCCCCGTCGCCGACCCCCCAGACTCCCACTGTCTCGGCTCCTGGTTCCCCGTCGCCGGCCCCCCAGACCCTTCCGGCCCTCCTTCCTGGTCCCCCTCCTCCCGCCCTGCTCTGGCCCTCCTTCCTGGTCCCCCTCCTCCCACCCTGCTCTGGTTTCCTGTGGGCGTCTGGTATCCGCCCTTGAGGGGGGGGGGGGTTCTGTCATGACTCCCATCCTTCACCCTCCTCCACTTCCTCATTATACCTTCATTCAGCTCACCTGGTTCCTCTCACCAAGCTCCAGCCAAGCCCTGCTTTCCCCAGCAACCTGTCAGCTTCAATCAGCTCCATTCATTCCACCTGCTCCTGTAATCAGCCTCATCCCATTCACCTGCTCCCCCTGCTATAAAAGAACCAGCCATCCAGTCAACAGATGCCAGATTATTACAGCCTTGCCAGTAGTTCTCCAGCCATCCACCCTGCCTGATCTTTGCCTCTGGACCTTGTTTTTTGCCTGACCCCTGCCTTGCTCTCTGCCTGCCACTTTGACCTTAGCCTGCCTCTGAACCTGCCTCAGCCTTGCCCTCCAGGTACCTCTGCATTAAATAAAGACTTTTTAATATATTTTTACTGTGTTGGCGTCTTCACGGGTCTTCTGAACTCGGTTCATGACAGACTGTGCCACATTACCATCGCGGTCTGAGCACTTATAGACAGCCTAAGGCAGGGCTATTCCAGTTCGGGCCTCGAGGGCCGGTATCACCTGTGCAACAGCTCATCAGGCTCTGCAGCAGCCTGTTAATCACCTGCTGATTGAAATCAGAAGTGCTGAAGCAGGATTTCAACTAAAACATGCTGGATACCGGCCCTCGAGACCCGGTATAGAATAGCCCTGGCCTAAGGGCTCCCTGATGCCACCACGGTCTCGTCTCATCTTCTTCCGCCTATCTGGGTCCGGGTCGCAGGGGCACCATTTAAACTAAGGAGTTCCAGAGCCTCTTCTCCACAGCCACCTCCACCAGCTTCTCCGGTAGGACCCCAAAGCGTTCCTGGGCCAATTTGGAGATGTACTTTCTCCAACGTGTCCTGGGTCGACCAGGGGGCCTCCTGTCGGCAGGACATGCCTGACACACCTCCCTGGGGAAGCGTCCAAAAGGCACCCTAACAACTGACTCCTCTCGATAACAGGATATCGAGACGAGCCGCCACAGTGTTGCAGCAAATATACGGATTTGTTTTGTAAAAACTGCTAATGTTTCTGGTCATTCCTGGTTCTAAACTTATTACTGTTGAGAAGACAATCGGGTTCTCCATCATGTTCTGAAACACCACCTTTAAGCTGTCCTCGAGGCTGACTGAAGCAGCCATGTTTCTGACAGGGCGATGATTAAAATGTCCCTGAAGGACAGTGAGGATGTAGTTACGCACTTTAAACTTATAAATTTGAATCAGATGACAGAGAATTTAATGGCATTGAATGTTAATTTATTTAGAAACAAAAGTGACGGGAAATAATTGATCATGACCCTTTCTCCTTTTTAACCCTGTAGGTCAAGATGACAAAAGTGACCTCTGCTCACGTCATACTTTTACAGAGCGTAACGGCACACTCAGCCCTGTGACTACACGTGCTGCTAGCTCACAGCTAGTGTCATCTCATGCCACCAGGTCTGTGGGCGGGGCTTCTACTACTCACAGATTCTATGTCCGTTCCAGGAACCAGGATAACTCTGACAAACTGCTTGTTGACCACCTCCAACCGCTCCACCTGTAAAAAGCATTAAACTGTTACTGGGACCTGACCTAAAATACAAGCACGGCACGGCAAAGCCACTTATCCCATCGATCATGGATGTGTCCATTTCTGAAATTAATATAGAATTATTTAAATGTGCTGTGAATACAAATATTTAACCAGACTTGTATTTGTTTAAAACATCACATGTAACTCAGAATAAGAATCAGAATCAGAATAGGTTTATTGCCATTGTCAGTGAACAAACAATTCACAAACTAGGAACTTGCTTCGGTACTAATGTGCTACATATAACATGAATAATAAGATTAAAAATAGAATAAAATAGACTAAAAAAAGTAGAATAAAACTTTCAGCTATAAATAATGGCAGGTAATGGTAACATGGCCGATAACGTGACGTTGTGTCGAGTACAGAAGACGAGCATGGTTGTGTGTTTATAATCTATTCACAAGTCTAACAGCAGATGGAAAGAAGCTGTTCTTATGGCAGGAGGTTCTGGTCCGGATGGACCGTAACCTCCTGCCTGAGGGAAGCGGCTCAAAAAGTCTGTGACCTGGGTGCGAAGGGTCAGCTGCTATCCGACCTGCACGCCCCCGAGTTCTGGAGACATACAGGTCCTGGAGAGATGGAAGGCTGCAGCCAATCACCTTCTTCTCAGCAGAGCGCACAATGCGCTGCAGTCTATGTTTGTCCCTCACTGTGGCTCCAGCATACCACACAGCGATGGAGGAGGTGAGGATGGACTCAATGATGGCCGTGTAAAACTGCACCATCATCTGGGCCGGCAGCTTGGCCTTTTTCAACTGCCGCAGAAAGTACATCCTCTGCTGGGCCTTTTTGAGCAGGGAGCTGATGGATGGCTCCCACCTAAGGTCATGTGTGATGGTGGTTCCGAGGAAGCGGAAGGAGTCCACAGTGGTGACGGGGGTGTCCGACAGGACGAGGGGGAGAGATGGGGCTGTGACTTTCCTGAAGTCCACAATCATCTCCACTGTCTTCTGAGCATTGAGCTCCAGGTTGTTGCTGCTGCACCAGTACACCAGCCGTTCCACCTCCCTCCTGTAGGCGGACTCATCACCGTCAGAGATGACCCCGATGAGGGTGGTGTCGTCCGCAAACTTGATCAGTTTAACGGAGTCATGGCTCAAGGTGCAGCAGTTTGTGTACAGGGAGAAGAGCAGAGGAGAAAGTACACAGCCCTGTGGAGATCCTGTGTTAATTGTCTTAGTGGTGGAAACATTCTTCCCCAGCCGCACGCACTGTCTTCGGTCCGTCAGGAAGTCAGTGATCCACCTGCAGGTGGAGTTGGGTACGTTGAGCATGGAGAGCTTGTCCTGGAGCAGAGCAGGGAGGATGTTGTTGAACGCAGAGCTGAAGTCCACAAACAGGATCCTAGCGTAGGTTCCCGGGGAGTCCAGGTGCTGCAGGATGAAGTGGAGGGCCAGGTTGATGGCGTCGTCTACAGACCTATTAGCTCTGTATGCGAACTGCAGAGGGTCCAGGAGGGTGGAGGTGAAGGACTTGAGATGAGGGAGGACCAGGCGCTCAAAAGACTTCATGACTATAGATGTCAGTGCCACAGGCCTATAATCATTCAGTCCAGTGATACGGGGTTTCTTAGGAACAGGGACAATGGTGGACAGCTTAAAGCAGGCTGGAACATGGCAGGACTCCAAGGAGATGTTAAAGATGTCCGTGAAGATTGGACACAATACCTCTGCGCAGTGTCTCAGGGTAGCGGGGGAGACACCGCCCGGGCCCGGGGATTTCCGTGGGTTTTGCTTACGGAAAACCCTGAGCACGTCCTCTTCTGTCACTGAGAAGGCAGTGGAGGGGGAGGGGTGGTCAGCGGGGACTATACTATTCATAGTGGTGAAGGTGGTGGGGGAGGCATGTAACACCAGAGTGGCTGAAGAAACCTGTGCAGTAGGGGGTGTGGGGGATGGGTGTTGCACTACAAACCTTGCATAAAAGGAGTTAAGTTGTTCAGCCAGTTGTAGATCGTCAGCAGCATGTTGGGCTCTAGGCTTGTAGTTTGTGATTTGCCTGAGCCTTCTCCAGACAGAGGCGGTGTCATTGTCAGAGAACTGCTCCTTTAGACGCATATTGTACCGGGATCTCGCCTTCTTCAACTCTTTTGAGAACTGGTACTTAGCGCCCTTGTAGCTTTCTCTGTCCTTGGCTGTGTGGGCTGCTTCTTTCTCCCTCCTCAGCTGTCTTAGTTTGGGTGTGAACCAGGGCTTATCATTGTTAAGTGACCCTTATGGGGTGCTGTATGTTGCATGTCATGGGCAAAATGAATTTAATCCATTTTGGAATGAGGCTGTAACATAAACAAAAAAGTGGAATTGTCACATTGTTGCTCCCCTGTGCCTTGGGTTTTACCTCAATTGTGTCCACCTGCCTCGTGTTCCTGATTACCCATCCCAGTGTGTATATAGGCCTTGTGTGTTGCTTGTGGGTTTGTCGGTTCGTACTCGTTACATGTCAGTTTATGTTCACATCTGTCTACCCTGTCATGTCTGCACTCCTGACCATTAAAGAGGAACCACATGTCTATTGCTGTCTTGCCTGGGTTGATTTGCCTGCCTGAAGGATCCGCTCTTCCTCCCTCACCATCCCTCCACTTCGTGGCAGGAATAAGTGAAGCGCTGTGAAAACTTTCCGGATGCACTGTAGCTTGTTTTCATATCATGTGCTGATTATTGTAAAGCACATTGAATTACCTCCTTGTTTGAAATGTGCTCTATAAATAAAGCTGCTGTGCCTTCAATGGTCTGAGCTGAGCTGTGTGTAAAGTTTACTTAAGACTCACCTAGTAGTTGTCCGATAGTCAAGAAGAGTCTGAGACGGGCACAGGGGAAAACATTCAGAGTTGCACTTGTGTCTCACTTGTAAATACCTAAAGAATTGTGATTTGTGAAACTTAGTCATCAAGTTATTTGAAGTAGGCAAATGTACCGTCAACCAACAAGTCACAGAGAGAATTTTCGCCTGTGGTCTGAAGCCAATTTAACCAAGAGTCAACAGCTTTGGGATACCAGAAGAAGGATTTGAAAATTAAAAAAGCATTTTGTCAGCATAAAGAGAGACTTTCTAAGTAGATCCCAGATGAGAGGCTGCTGGTGTAGGGCTGGACCAGTGGTACTCACTCCTGGTCCTGGAGAACTGGTATCAATCATGTTTTAGTTTTAACTCTGCTTCACCACACCTGATTTCAATCAGCAGGTAATTAGCAGGCTTCTGATGCGCTTGATGAGCTGCTAAACAGGTGATTTAACCACAGGATTAGGTTTGTTGGAGTAGAGAAACAAGGATAAAATACCAGCTCTCCAGGACCAGGAGTAACGCTGGGCTGGACGATAGAGAAGAAAAGCAGATAGATAAAAAATAATTCATATTGATCGATATCGATAATTATTGAAAAAAAAAATTTTCATGTAGAAAATATATTTTAAGTGCCACACTGGACATTTTATGACATTTTATGCTATTCCTTAATAACCACTCTCAAAAATGCACATTGCGTTGAAATGTTAGCATACATTTTTTATTTTAGCACCTATTAAAAATACATTTCTCCAGCTCCCGTTTTGTCCTGAGCATTGATGTAGTGGATGATGCACTGAGCACCATACTCAACTCATTTCCTGTCATGTTTGTAAATATCACTGTGAACAGTTTTTGCACCTATAAAAAATAAACTTTACTCACCTGAGTGCTCCATCTCCCCGTTTTCATGACAGGAAAGGACTTCATACCACCCTGTTTTCACTAATTTCCTCACTTTTCTGTAGCATTGCTAACAGATTTATCCCCACCAATAACTACTGGTCCTTTCACGTTAATGTAATAACTGCTCCTTAACCACCCAGTTTTGAGTTTGGACCTTTTTTTGGCCTTTAGGAACCTCGTAACCTTTGAAACCTTTGCCCATTTGTAGTGGGACACGTTTAGTTATTTGATTATTAAAAACTCTAGTTATGTGTACCGTTTTAATTCCCCATGGGCTGTATAGAGCTCCGGACCCCACGTGACTCTCAGTTAGTGGACGCCATTTTGGCATGCAAAAAAGGTAAACAAACACGGATGTAACCATGAACGTGAACGGGATCCGCTTGGATTTTACTTCGTCGGAGTTTACTTCACACTTTAAAACAGAAGAAATCGTTTTATATAGTCAGAAATTAAATAGAGTAAACATCTCCGACCCTTACCGTGCCCCTGGGATACTTTTTAAAAACGCCAGAAGATGTCGGAGCGGACTTCTTAACGGCACAACACCGGACCTGGCCGGGGGAACCCCTTGGGATTCCCCCGGCCGGAGGAGCTGGGAGAAGGTCTGGGACTCTCGACTCTACTGCCCGCTCCGACGCCAGAAGCTGTCGGAGCGGGCTTCTTACCGGCACAACACCGGACCTGACCGGGGAACCCCTTGGGATTTACCCGGAGGAGCTGGCTCCGGCGGCTGGGGAGAGGGAAGTCACGCTACTGCCCCCGCAACCCAACTCCGGATACGCGGATGAAAATGGATGGATGGACGGACAAATAACAGATTTACACGTAAGTAGTCTCGGTGTGTGATCTGACAATTGATCAACCATTGCTTAAAAATTAAATACAGTTAGCCGGTTAATTGCTGTGATCATGAAACACGTAAACGGCAGCACGCAGAACTCACGAGGCAACGTTTTACGTGATGTTTACTTGCTGCTATGAGTAATAAGACAGAAAAAGCCACGCCAAAATAAGTTTAGGAAGCCCACTAAGAATCATAATAAAAGCATTTAAAATAAATACCATACACAGTTGAGGAAACGTTGGTTTAAGTACCTGATATGAAGCGGTCGCTGCATAAGCGAAAACCTTTACTCTCGGGGTCCCACAGTTTCATTTTAACCCGGTCACTAGCGCGTTTTATTACAATGATCCAACGTTTGCGGCGCTCCGGATCTTGGGGAATCCTGTAGATGGCTCATTCCTTATGTCGTCCGCGTCTGTTCTGCATCCTGGGGCACAACAGGAATCTACCATATTTCCCGTCTGATTGAGTTTTCTGACAATAACAAATAGTCCAGCTGCCGGCTTCTGCATGCCAATATGGCGCCGTTTCGATTTGAACTATTGCATGCCGGGAGAAGTGACGTCAACTCCCGGAGCTCTATTAGTTTTGTTGGTTAGTATTCCCGACCTGTGGGAGAAAAGATTTAAGATTTTTTTGCAAATAAAGCCGATCATCACTTTAACTTTTAAATCTTGCTTTTTGCACACGAGCCAAACGCCCCAGGAAGGGTCGTAACACCACTCGCCACGCGCACGTGAGTGACCAAAAGAAGGCAGCATGGAGAACAAAACTCCGTCCCCGATCACGTCTCAGGCTCAGCAGCCTGCACTCCCAAGCTCTACGTGTCACCAGAACACCACCCAACCCAAAACGGAAGGCTTGCAGCGTTTACTCTTTCACAGTACTAGTTTATTCAAAGTTTTTGGGGTTTAATTTGAGATTTTCTGGGTTTTATAAATCGTGCAACAGAAAAATAATTGTTAGATTAATCGTCCAATTAGTCATTAGAATAATCGACTATTCAATAAAATAATGGTTTTAAAAGTATTTGCTTACCCCCAGCCCTACTGGTTAAGCTTTAGTTTTGATGCATTTTTATGTCGTGGATTGTTTTTAATGTGTTCTCATTTCTGTGAAGCGCTTTGGTGGGTTTTATATTGTTGTAAGGTGCTGTACAAATAAAGATGGCTTGGCTTATAGGATGACTGTGTGGTGCTCCTCACCAGGCCTCTGCCCAGGTAACGGTGGACAAAGTCTTTCCAGCTGATCTCACGGCCGTTGTCTTTGAAGTAGAGGTAGAGGAGCAGGGAGCCGAGCCCAGCCAGCGTCACCATGAGGTATCTAAAGTCCTTCTCATCCCAGGGAAAGTCGCCCTAAACAACAACACAGTTATGTCTGCCAGTGAAACTCATTAACAACTCATTCATTTCAATGAAGGAATCATTTTAGCAATTTTCACACCTAAATCCAGCCATCTGCATGCTTACGGGTTAGTTAGGTTAGTGAGCTAAACCAGCTGCATCTCCGGTGGTCGGTACAGTTTTCAGACAGAAGCAGCCCAGATCGGTGAAGCTATTAAAGCTGGTAACAGATTTTCTTCTACACACTATATTCGTGGAGCTGTTACGGCCGATATGGTCAGCAACTGGTGTTCTAGCGGTGCTTTAGTGAGGAGAAACGTTCAGGTGTCTCACCTTGATCAGTCCAACTAACAACAACTCTTATGAATACACCTGAAAACATTTCTTACCTTTAGTTTACCTTCGCATCAATAGAGTAACACATTTTAATGTTTTGATGGTACGATGTCATTTACTGTGTTTACAAATATTACGGCGCATTATACAGATGTTTTTGTTGTATTAATATTGAGAAGAACGATTTCAAACCGTCGGTGTTCCCTTTGGTGTTCTCCAGTATTGTTGTTAAAACTATTAGAAATATAGTTTTATTGACCCAAACTGTGAATTTGAAGTATTTCTTTACAGTTTTAAGTAGGTGTCGTTAACATGTTCTTCACACAAGTTCAAAGTTACTGCATGAGAAGAAAAACACATATTTTATTCCACTAAAATGAGACTAAAACAAACTGAACGACTGTGTTGTGACTAAAATTAAAGAGTTTTCATCAAAAGTCCAAGACTTAAACTAAATGATAATTTCTTGTGAAAATGAACAGTGGTGTTCTGACAGTGAGCTGGTTTCTCTTTGTGCTCTTGAGGCTAAACGCCTCCTGCTCCACGAGGAAGGCTGCTTCTGAACGTTTCCATGTTCCCGACCACCCGCACCAGTCTGCTCTGATTATTTGCTTCTGTTTTAATTAGGGTTGATTTTAGGGTACTTGATATGTTCGGTTCTGGTAAATGAACTTTAAAAAATGTTAAAGAATATCCATATTTCATTGTTGGGTTATTTTGGCATCATAACTAGGTTAAAACAAACTTTTTGAATTCGACTCCACCAGTCTTTTCCTCCGACTCCTCTTTTCCCTCCTCCTGGTCTCCCTCCGCCCGATGCTCCTGTTCCACCTGAAACAAGCCGTGATTCCATTAGTACCACCTCAGTGGGGGACTACCTTCTGAAAGTTCTGTCAGCACACGATTGACCAAACACACAAGAATAGATGTGATGACCAATTTCAGTCAGAGACCGAGCAGCAGCAAGCTAGCCACAGCAACCCAGAGAACCTGAGGGCCCAGGGTGACTTCACACAACGGAGGGGCAAGTAGGCCTCGCTGCAGAAAATCTAGGATGAAATGCTATTCTCTAGACCAGGGATTCCCTAAGTAGGGTGCACGCACCCGAGCTGCCGCTAGGGGGTGCGCGAGGTGAAAAGTGTAATGGCTGCGGAGCTGAGAGAAGTCTGTCATATGTCACCATTAGCGTAGCCAGAAACTCATTTGTGGGTGGGCCAAAGAAAATGTAATTGAAAACAAGTATATTGTGAGTGTGTGTGTGTGTGTGTGTGTGTGTGTGTGTGTGTGTGTGTGTGTGTGTGTGTGTGTGTGTGTGTGTCCCCTCCGCATGTTCCCTAGCTTCATAATAATAATGCGCTCCGAGCTTCAGCACTCTGACCTGCGCACGCTGTCAATAGCAAGATATGTTCCGTATTTGATCATTTTTAACGGTGTTGGAGAAATCTGAAGGTGGTGAGTCATTCTGGCAGATTGTAATTAACACCTGTCTCATGCAGGTGTTCTGACATTGTAAACCTCACACACAGAACACTGTGGATGTAACAAAATAAATCAAGAAATGATTCCCATTTGAGCATTTTAGCATCATTATGTTATTACATTAGCACACTGACTGTGGGACAGCATTCTAAACGTGTCAGGCTATTAACAGCGCGCTGAAGATCTGAAGTTCAGAGTGTGTCTGTCAGAGGTCAGACGCGTTCCAGCGGAACCACCGCTCACAGGTGCACATGTGAGCACATCTGGACTGGGCAGAAGAAACTTTACAACATTGGTTTAAATAGCGCCAATAACGAGACGCGGTGACTGGAGCGGCTCATGGAGCTGTGCCGCACACACACACACACACACACTGATTCAACACGCGTACGCTGCGCTCTCAGACTGAAGACAGAAATGAGCGCTGCCGCTTCCGTGATAAAAAAAAACTTTTAAGAGGTTTTATAACAACATTTTTCATTCAAGGTCATATTAGCTTCTATTTTGGGATGGCGTGTGAAAGTCGAGTCCACTCCAGCCAGCGACTCCTCATGAACCTGACTACAGCTCATGTTACTGCAGCATTTGTTATTCCAGTCCGCGTGGCAACGGATCGCAGATTCAGCTACACCATAAAACAGCAATAAGTCGGTCTGAGGCAAAAGTGAACCTCATGGCTATATCTTTTCCAACTTTTCCCCTATAGACATTTGATTACGCACAAGTAGGTGATCAGCTCAGGTTTACGCAGAGCAGAAGGAAGGAGAGAGCTCTGGTTAAACATTCCTGCTTTAAGAAAACTGTTAAATTGCATTGTTTATGTGCTACCTGGGCACTCTAAATATTGATTTAAAATTAAATCAAAGGAAATTGTAATGGTATTGAATGTTTATTAATTACTATTTCAAAAATACATAATACATAAGCATAAAAATGAAAGAGATGGGGAAAAAGGTCGATCATATTTTCTTAACCCTGTCCGTCGAGTGACTGTTTAGCGTGACGTCTGATATATATATATATATATATATATATATATATATATATATATATATATATATATATATATATATACACATACAGAGAGAGAGAGAGAGATATATACACACATACAGAGAGAGAGAGAGAGAGAGAGAGAGAGAGAGAGAGAGAGAGAGAGAGAGAGAGAGAGAGAGAGAGAGAGAGAGAGAGCGCCATGCCCTGATGTGGGGCTGGGGGGTGCGCGGCTAAATAAGTTTGGGAACCACTGCTCTAGAACACTGAAGATGGGTCTTCAGCATGACCGTTAACCCAAAAATATCAGCATGGCAACACAATTAGCTAAAGGAGAAGCAAGTCAGACAGTCCCCACAACTCAGTCCTGTAGAAAACATCTCACCTTTGGGTTGAGTTGAGTTGGGGCGCCGCTGAATGGACAGGATTGTCCCAAACGGCAGGAAGTTATGTGGAGTTTTAGTGAAAAGACCACAGTTCTGAAAACAGACAGACCAGTTAACAGAGCCACAAGAAAACTACAAAACAGAGGAGGAGAGGAGGGGAGGAGAGACAGGCTGCGAGTTATTACCGCGTTTCCACGAGTTTATTAAAGAGGAGAGGAGTTTCCAAGAGTTATTGGAGAGGAGAGCTTTAACGACAGGAATGTTTGTGTCTCCTCAGAAATATGCAATTTAAGAGCGATGTCGTTTTAATTTATGTTTTATTCATTATTAAAATTAAAATAAATAAACTTTGCAAAAACAATCAAAAATGTGAATATTTACATGCATTACTATTGGCTGGAGTCATACACAATTCTTCCATGAAAAACTCGAGAAGCTGAATCTCCTTTTTAGTTATAAGTATGAAGCAAGTTAGTTAATATTATTATTATTACTACTTTAAGAGTGTAAGTGTACGAGTCTCAGTTGAAGGTTGTAGACCCCTGAAGCCGCACCGGTCAACTACCTACCGCTGCCGAGGAGCTCCGGAGCCCCGCGAAGAGAAGCCGTCCAGCCCCCAGACCGGAGAGCCGAGCATGGGCTAACCCGGCCCGGGACAGCGGCTTAGCCGTGGACAAAAGTCGTAGCAACCCCTGAGCCATGTTTCTTTCCTGTGTGAAAACACCAGTTCAATGCTCCGCCATGCTGCCTTACTGTCAGCTGGAGGAAGTGCCTTTGAGTATCCCTTCTTCTGCCTGTCGGAAATAATACTTGAATAACCTGGGTCCAACTGTATTTATGCTAGTCATTTATGAATTGTTACAACATTTAAAACAACGCAAAAAAAACAAAAAAAACAAAACAACGCACACTACTAGTGTAATATATATTATGTCATCACCTTTAATATCGGTTACATTCAGGAAGACAGTAGGCCAACTATAGGTCCTCCGTGTAAACAACCCCATTGACGTCAGTCAATACGTAGGTGCTCTTGTGTGGTTTGTCCAATAATACCTGTCGCTGAACACTGCGTCGCCGCCATATTGGATGGGTCTCCTCACTCTCCACAGCATTTTTTTGAATAACTTTATTTAACAAAGTGCGAGTATACTTCACGAGAACAAATGAAGTATATGACACAGATGAATACATTTAAGTGTACGGAGCTCGTCTGGTGACACTGAGAAAAAAAACTCATGGCTGCGGGTTATTAACACGTTCCCACGAGTTATTAATGCGTTTCCATGAGTTATGAATGTGTTCCCACAAGTTATTAATGCGTTCCCAGTTAACACGTTTCCATGAGTTATTAATGCGTTTCCACAAGGTATTAATGCGTTCCCAGTTATTAGCCCGTTTCCACGAGTTATTGTGTTTCAACGAGTTATTAATGCGTGACCATGACTTATAAATGCACAAGGGTTATGTTCACAGATCAGCTGTCTTGAAAGGATCTCCTCTTAAAAGCCCTCAAATCGTTAAATTTTAGCTAATATTAGGTTTCATCATAGGGTCACTGATTTATTTTAAAGAATAATAACCTGTTGTTTTAATTAATCAGATCATCCAGTAACGCAGGTGAAGCGTCTTTTCTTTCAGCCCCACAGACGTAGTGTGTCCTCCTCTCTGTTGTTGTGTGTAGTGACTGGCTTACTTTCTTTCTGTTTTTGAAAAAGGCTGGACACAAACAATTTCATCCATCTGTTGTGACTCGGAAACATCTCTGGACTGGAGAGTCGGTGCTGCGGTTAATCTACCAAACCTCTGTGCCAAGAGGTCATCTGACCTCCCTGACCTTCGGATCCGCGAAGAGGGTCTCCAAAGAAAGAGTGAGGTAGACACAAAGATTGCGTCTGATGCCTTTTTGATGAGAACCAACTTCATAGCTTAATGCAAACCAAAATCTTTTAACCCAGAACGCAGTTCTTCTAGATACGAAGGTTCTGATAACCTTACATTCACACAGTCACCATACATCACACCCCATCCTCTTGGATTCATCCTTCACAGTAGCCTTGGTTAACTTGTCATGTTTATATCCATCCATCCATTTTCAGCTGCTTATCCGGAGTTGGGTCGCGGGGGCAGTAGCCTAAGGCGAGAGGCCCAGACTTCCCTCTCCCCAGCCACTTGGACCAGCTCCTCCGGGGTAATCCCAAGGTGTTCCCTGGCCAGGTGAGACATAGTCCCTCCACCGTGTCCTGGGTCTACCTTTAGGTCTCCTCCCAGTTGGACGTGACTGGAAAACCTCACCAGGGAGGCATCCAGGAGGCATCCTGACTAGATGCCTGAGCCACCTCAACTGGCTCCTCTCGATGTGGAGGAGCAGCGGGTCTACTCCGAGCCCCTCCCGAATGACCGAGCTTCTCACCCTATCTCTAAGGGGGAGCCCAGCCACTCTTCGGAGAAAACTAATTTTGGCTGCTTGTGTCTCGTTCTTTCGGTCACTACCCAAAGCTCATGACCATAGGTGAGGGTAGGAACGTAGATCGACCGGTAAATCTAGAGCTTCGCCTTCTGACTCAGCTCTCTCTTCATCACGACAGACCGGTACAACGCCCGCATCACTGCAGATGCAGCATCTATCCGCTTATCGATCTCACGCTCCAGTTTTCCCTCACTCGTGAACAAGACCCCGAGATACTTAAACTCCTCCACTTGGGGCAGGACCTCATCCCTGACCCGGAGAAGGCATTCAACCCTTTTCCGAATCAAGACCATGGTCTCAGATTTAGAGGAGCTGATTCTCATCCCAGCTGCTTCACACTCAGCTGCAAACCGCTCCAGCGAAAGATGAAGATCACGTTCTGATTAAGCCAACAGGACCACATCATCTGCAAAAAGCAGAGACCTGATCCTCAGGCCACCAAAATGGATGCCCTCCACACCTTGGCTGCGCCTAGAAATCCTGTCCATAAAGGTTATGAACAGAATCGGTGACAAAGGGCAGCCTTGGCGGAGTCCAATTCTTACTGGGAACAAGCTCGACTTATTGCCGGCAATGCGGACCAAGCTGTGACACAGTCATACAGGGACCTAACAGCCCGCATCAGAGGGCCTGGTACCCCATACTCCTGCAGTACCCCCCACAGGGCCCCCCGAGGAACGCGGTCAAACACCTTCCCCAAATCCACAAAACACCTGTAGACTGGTTGGGCAAATTCCCACGCAACCTCCTGGATCCCCCTAAGGGTATAGAGCTGGTCCAGTGTTCCACGGCCAGGACGAAAACAACAACCACTTCTTCCAGCTCTTGGAGAGTACAGATGCTTTTTTCCTCCTCTCCTCCCTATCTTATCCCAAGGCTCTTTGTCTGTCTTTGGGTGTACAATGCTTCTGCATTTTTTCTGGAAACTGGAAATGATTAAAATGGATCTGGTCAGTTGGTCTCTCAATGCGACTGACAACATTTTTTCAATGATGACAAAGGGAGAAGGGGCTCCCGGTTGCCCCTCTGGGACAGAGCCAGCTGGGCATATCATGGACTCCTGAAAACAGTGGAACCTGATCTGCCTCTCTCAGCTGTCTGTAGAGGATTCTGAAGACGTCTGGATATCCGTGGTGTTGTTGTAAGGTTTCGTGCTGTTTGGCCTGAGCGGTTACCTAGCTTACCGGAAAATTAACGAGCTGTCAAGGAATAGTGGCTCAATCCCGGAGCTCAGGGATGGATTACACCGCGCTGTGAATGCACAAACTCATAATTGCCGAGACTAGTCGTAAGCTTGGAACTTTGGCTGAGATTCAGACTCTGGCACAGAAGGTTGATGCCATCAAGGATAGAGTTGAAGGACCAGCACGGATTGGGATAGATTAATCTACGCCATTATTGTATTCAGAGGGGTTGGAGATCAATAGAACTTTAAGACAGAGAGGAAATTCTCTGTCTGGCCGTTCCTCCCAACCACACCTCTCCAGGTCTCACTGTCGTTGCCCATGTGGGTGGGTAGTCTGAACTGTAGTTTGGTGCATAAGCACAGACCACAGTCAGAACCCGTCCCCCACACGTAGGCGGAGGGAGGCTACCCTCTCATTCACTGGGGTAAACCTCAATGTACAGGCACCAAGATGGGGGGGGGGGGCGCAACTATTATGTCCACCCCTGCTCTGCACCTCTCAGTGGGAGCAACTCCAGAGTGGTAGAAAGTCCAACCCCCCTCAAGGAAACTGGTTCCAGAGCCAGAGCCATGCGTTGAGGTGAGTCCGACTAGATCTAGTCGGAACCTCTCAACCTCACACACCAACTCAGGCTCCTTCCCCACCAGAGGTGGCATTCCATGAGCCAAGAGCCAGCATCTGTAGCCGAGGATCAGACCGCCAAGGTCCCCGCCCTCGACTACCACCCGTCACACACTGCACCTGACCCCTTTGGCCCCTCCCACGAGTGGTGAGCCCATGGGAAGGGGGACCCACGTTTCCTCTTCGGGCTGTGCCCAGCCGGGCTCCATGGGTGAAAGCCCAGCCACCAGGCACTCGCCAACGTGCCCCACCTTCTTGGAGACAACTCTGGACTGACCTGTTCGCATTGCAGTTAATCTACGAACTCCAATGCCTTGGAGTCACCCGACCCTCTGACATCTCAGATCCAAAAGAGGGTCTCCAAAGGGTACGTGGACACGACAAGATAGCGTCGGATGCCGTATTATTGGTAATCAACATTCTAGTTTATAGCAGACCAAATTCTTTTATGCCCAGAACTCACTTTCTTCCAGGTACAAAGGTTCTGATCACACATCACCATACACTCATCACACAGCATTATTCATAGCTTGTCATGTATTATAATTAGTCTAGAAAACAAAGTTTATTTTTAATTATATATTTGACTCAGTCTGAATGAATAAAAAGTGTGTTTATGGTCACTGAATAAACAAAGAATCCTAAATCCTTCTGGTTAAACATTCAAAGATCAATCAGGTTGATATTCTATATTTTTATAGAATCATCACATCTTATTGGTCATAATTTAACACCCCAATCTCATAACCCTACACTGCATATGCTTCATACTGGTTGACAATACAACCCCCACCCCTCTGCACACACCCTTTGAACAAATGTACATAAAATGCACTAGAAAAATGTGTACGTATAGATGTAGGCGAGAAATGTCGACATTTTGAAGAAAACTGACAACCTCTGTTGTTAATAAATTTATTGTCATTTTCATCATCATATTTTAAACTCAATGATTCTGTCAAGCAGGAAATAAAACAAAAGACCCACCTCACACACAGCTCTTGTTTAAAACCAACAAGATTTTACTTGTTTTGGGGACAATAGAATTATATTATAGTATAATAGTAATAGTATTGTGTCATGAGCACAGTAGTACAAGAATAAACTCAACAATTTGTATGTAGCTTTAGTAACGTTTACTTACATGCAACTCTTAAGGCATCATGTGATAAATTCAGGTAATTTAATACAATTTCAGTTGAATCAAGACAAAATTGTCTGACATTAGTTTAAATGTGCTGGGCTTCATGACGGCTAGCCATTTAACACAACATTAATTCTAATTCTTCCATTACAATAATCAGCAGGTTAACTTTGATCTTACTCTTGGAACACGAAGCTGGTGATGGAGTCAACTGGTCTGCTCTTGCCGTAGAATGGGCCCAAGCATCTGACACCTCAAATCTTGGAAGATGCTGCAACGGCTGAGGCTCCTGGGCGGCTGTAGACGTGAACATTTGTGTTCTGAAACAAAAAACAAACAAAAAAAAAAAACACTAAATCAGGAAACCTAAATTCTTACATTTCTGGGGGATATCATGTTTTGTTGTTATGAGCCTGAATCCTCTCTTATGAGTGTTTTTATTAAAAAGACCTTTCAGATCAGAGATTACACCCCGAGTGCTGTATGTTGGTTTTCAAACATCGTCAGATTGAAAACTCTGGCTAGATTGATGCATTTGATATCGATGCAGGTGTAGTTTTATTAATATTCCTGCAGGAAGCACCCCAGGCTGTGCTGCAGCAGCATCCATTTGCAACTATGTGAGGTAAGACATAAACCACCGTTTGCATGAACCAGTCTGAGGATTCATTGAATTAGAGAAGTGTTACCATGGCAGTAATCCACTTTGGTCACATGCGTATCTTCTGTATATGATGCAAAATGTAATGTTCGACCATCCAGAGAAACTTTTCATGTCTATGGAATCCACCCAACTAGCAAAGGAGTGTGAACACTGCTGATGCTATGAACTTCAAGACATTTCACCTGTAAAATACCCACCACAGTAACTTCCTCAGAAGATGGAGTCGTGTTTAAAAAAAACATCAGAAATTAGGTTTTATTAGCCGGACCAGCCAGCCCCGTGCAGTCTGGAAACTCTCCTTCAAATAACCCCGCCCCCTGAGAATTCTGACCGAGCCAATCGGCGCTGAGCAGCGTACATCACACACCGCAACGCTGAGGTTCTCGTGAACGACGAAAACTGAAGCGGACTTCGCTGCGGCGCTTTCCTCTGTTATGAATGACTTGGACGTGTCTTTAAAACAAGAAGTGCTAAAAGCTTTTCCCCTAAAGAAAGATGATTGCAGCCAGACGCCATTTTTCACTACAGCGTGGTACAGGCGGCATTTCCACCTTTTTTCTGATTGGTTATTGTTGAGCTGGCTAGTCCCGCCCCTCATGACTAGTTCTGTGTGTAGAACAGAAGATGAGTACCTTCTTGGCTTCTGCATTGTGCTTGTCCAGAAGGGCCTGAACCTTGTTTCCATAGTCTGGATGCACGTCCTTCAGGTGCTCCACCTGTATGAAGAACGTGGGTAAAACATCAGCTAAGCATCCTATAACAGATATAAAAACGGGCTAAAGCAGGGGAACAGTAAAGATGCCAAATCTACCGTTGTCACTTTGTCATTGAACTTTGGTTTGAGGTCAGTATTTGCGTTACGGGAACGTTTGATATATAAATTAAACACTGTGCTTGTGGACAACTTGCAAGTGGTTCTGACCGGTGGCCTCATCTACAAACTGGATTTGGACGTTTGAATCTGGTGTCCATGATGAAAACTCACCATCCGTTTCTGGATGAAGAGCTGAGCAGCCTTCAGGGACCCCGCCAAGTTCTCACAGAGTCTCTGGCGCTCCTCGTCATTCAGCACTTGGGTGTAGAAGGCACGGACCTGGAACCAAACACATCCCTTCCTGATTCAACACATCTGACATGTGCAAACAGGATTTGGGTAATATGGCCACACCTGGAACTAATGTGTTTATTCCACACGCAGCAATGTAGTCAACGTTCACCTTTAGAAAGTTTCACTTCAATAATTAACTGGAACTTTACTAGAAACATTTATAAAATAAAACTTTATTATAAAACACAGCAGCAGAAACATGAAAACTCATTTCCACAGAATAAAATTAAGAACCACAGATTGTGTAAACAAGGAGCGACAGAACACAAAACAAGGCAGAACCAAAGGAAACAGGAAGAGGTTGGCGGGCGTTGAGATGAAGTGTTGCAGCAACATCAGCTCACCAAGAGACTGTTTCAGGGTGACAGGGCCAGACAGCAGGGGCCATCGGTCAGCTCCCCACAACACCATCAGAGAAGCACCGATGTAGTTACTCACCAGAGCAGAGGTCAATAATCCAAACAGACCTGAATTCAACCCAGAGAGGTAATGGAGTAGAAAATGGACCGTTCCCTTATTTACTCATTTAGTTGTAGGAAATGACAGTTTTGTTTGTTTGTTTTGATTCTTGTGGCGTGAAAACATTTGTTAAGAAGTACACTATATGAAAGGGGCGGGGCTAAACGAGTTTATACAACTTTATAGGCTGCTATGTAACAACACAAACCTTAGTGATGCACCATCTCAGGCTCTTGCACTCACAGCAGCTGGTTAATATCTGAGTAATAACTAGGCATCAAGCCCACACCTGGAAGGAAAGTGACATCATCACCGCCCTTACCTGTGTGGTGTTATCTTCGTTTGCACTGTTGTAACGAGCCACATCAGGGGAAACCTTAAACCTGGACTCCAGGAATCGAGGGTGAGCCTCTGGGGCGCTGAAGCTGTTTGGAAAGTAGTTTGGAGCTCCACCTAGTGGCGAACACACCGGACAACAGGAGATTTTAATTCTCAACAGGGAGCTGGGAGCCACTTCATGCTCAGAGCCTAATGAGGGTTTGGTTATGAATAGAGTGCTGACCCTTGAACAGTAATAGTTCACAGTTGAACTGAACTTCAAGTAGAACAAACCTATTTTACTGCTTTTTAACAATCTTTGCTAAGTTCTTGTTCCAGTCAGACCATCGGCCACCGAGACAAAGGAACCTGTCAGTTTAGTTTTCTGTAGTCCATGGTCAGCTGCCAGTTACCGTTGGGTTTCCTCACCAGCCACAATGGAGCCGAGTAGGTGCAGGCAGACCCAAACTACACATTTATATCATCAATAGAATATCAAAGGTTCAATAATATTGATAATCATATTTTATGGAATGTTACATTTTACTGAATACCTTCTATTGACAATTTATTAAAAGTAACCACTAACAACACGTTACTGAGGCCGTCAATGAGCGGGTGGTTTTCGGTGCCAAGTTTAAATGAGATATCACAGAAAACAGGAAAGGCCTGCCTTCAAATTTAAAACCAACACTTGTTAATTACAAAGCAGGATGACTTGCTGGCTACTTCCAGGTGAGTGACCTTTAAGTGCGTTGCAAGCTACTGGTAGCTTGTGAGGGTTGAAGACTCCTGGTTTACATCTGGTACATTTACCAGGTCCAGCTGACCTCTACGGGACTGCATGGGTGAATTTTGACCAAGACCCTTCAAATGCTCACAAGAGGACACGTCACATCTGAATTAGGCCCTGTCCACATGTAGCCGGGGATCTGCCAAAACGTAGATACTTTTCTACGTTTTGGCCTGTCATCCACACGAAAACGGATCTTTTTAAAAACTCCGACCAAAGTGAAGATCTGCGTTTTCTCCGTTTTGGGTGTCTGCGTGTGGACGGACAAAACCGGAGTTTTAAGGTCTGCAACGTCACTTTCCGCGACAAAAAAATGCTGACATCACGTGTGCGACCTGTGTTTACACTAGCCGACAGCATGGAAGCCTTCAGAGCTGCGCTCTGTCACTACCCGATCCATCAATTGTCCAAGCGCTTTTTGCTTGTTTGTTTTTGCAAGCGGAATTACTGCTCCTTGCGGAAGACCACAGACGAAGGACGAGGTTAAGAACGGGGGAAGTACTGCCACCTACAGGTCTGGCATGTCCTTAACAACGTATTTATCCGGGTACGTGTGGACAGTTTTTTTTTTAAACGAGGTGGTGTGGATGCAAGTTTTTGGAGGGGCGGATATTCATTTTCTTTTTTTAAACGGCTACGTGTGGACTAGGCCTTAAGACTAACAAAAACGTTCTGAAACAAGCAAACAAAAAAACACCAGGGGTCTCATTTATCAATCCTTACTAAACCCGTACTTAAGCTCAGCGCAAAAAAAAAAAAAAAAAGTACTTACACCAAGTAGGTTTGTGATCTATCAAACATGGAGTACACACAGCTGCACGCAATCTCCGCTTCATAAATCAGAAACTATCTAGACCGTTTCTCAGCTGCATTTTAGTCACATCCCTCCCTCACCACGCCCACTTACTGCCATAAATAATCAATGCAAAGTGCCTTGTGGATCTCATGCATATACATAAGCCGGCTGTTGCAGCGCTCCACCAATGGCAACCGTAGATCAAGGCAGATCAAGGAAGCGCCATTTCACAGAAGCAGAAATTGAGGTACTTGTGGATGAGGTGGAGAAATGAAAGGAAGTGCTTTTGCAAAACAAATAAGAGAAAATCCATGAAGTGGCACAGCGTTGCTGAAGCCGTTAATGCTGAGTTCTTCAAAGAGATCTGTGGCGGATCCCCAGACTCCCGGGTGACAGTCACGCGCGCTAACCAGTCAGCCAAACAGATCTCCCCTGTACAAGTAGCCAGGGTGATCAATCGGGTCACAGTGACAGGACACACACTGTCACAGACGCATGACATTCTGTCTCAATCCGTCCCCCTGTCCGTATTCTGCGCTTCAGGCTGTGTGTGTGTTTGCGTGCGCCTGCGTGTGTGTGTGTGTGTGTGTGTGTGTGTGTGTGGTCTTGTTCTGTGTGAAAACGAAGAGTACAAGTGATAATGCTGCATGATTTCATAATTGTATCCTTCTCAGCAGCAGCACTGCAGGTGCTCTCCATGTCCAACATGTGTGTAAGCCAGGTCCTTAGTCAGCTTAAAGTTGCACATTTTTCTGCTACGTTTTCTTTCATAAATCCCAAAGTTTGCGTGGAAAGTTGCTTACGCAGTTTTCAGACCCCGTTTTGTGCGCAAGCAAGCTTGATAAATGAGGCCCCTGGTGTCCATCTGAACCCTAGAAACGAGAGAAAACCATGACTGACCTTGGTTGTCAGTGATGCACATTGGGCCATCCCGTTGGTAGTTGGCTACACGAGCCCTGTATGGACAGTTGACTGGGAGCTGCAGGTAATTTGCTCCCAGCCGGTGTCGATGTGTGTCAGGATAGGAGAAGAGCCGACCCTGTGTAAAGACAAAATGAAAACAAACACTTTTATATCAGCACTAACCATCTGCGACACATACCGTGTTCAGATGGTAGCAAGGCTCGACACCTACGATAAATTGCCTGTGTTTGTAAAGCTCCTTCAAGGGTCCTACAACCCCTAAAGGCACTTAACACAACCAGTCACTTATTTATTAACACACACATTCACATCCCGGTGGTGATGAGCTACAATGTAGCCACAGCTGCCCTGAGGTGCACTGAAAGACGTGAGGCTGATGAGCACAGGCGCCACCGACCACCAACAGCAGGCAAGGCTGATGAAGTGTCATAACCAAGGACACAACAACTGAGAAAGACTGAGTGAGGCTCAAACTTGCAGCCCTCCAAATATGAGGTGGGCAGTCAACTAATTCTTTTATGGTGGCCGGGGAAAGTGAGAAGCTGAGTAGGAGTCATCCTAAAGAAGAAGAAGGCTGATGAGTCTAGGAATAATGATGAATGCTGTTAGTGGCGATAAACCCAAAATGTAACCAAACAGAAATGTATGACTATGACCAAGGTTATCGTGCCCATGCCAGTATATTCAGTGTTCTTTAAAAAATGAAAAGTGTGAAGGTGTGTGACGTTCACGTCCCTTTAAGATGTTGTACTACAGACTCTACCCCACCCAGTCTGCTACAAGTCTGAGGATATGGAGGATTAGTCGAATGATGGAATGGTGGTGGTAGATCTGGTGAAGGAGGATAAGAGATGTTCGTTTCCCCCAAAGAATGCTTCCATCGTTCTGCAATAAGTAATTAGGGTCCATGGTCCAAACAAGCAACGGACAGAGTGGAATAGAGGGGAAAAAGTGTGTGAAGCATTGGGTGGAGAAAAGGATTTCAGGTGTAGAAGACCGTAGTGAGAGCAGTGATGTCTGGTTTAGAGACAGTGTCCATGAGGACAGGACAGGACACAGAACTGGAGGTTCTCTTTGGGAGTGACAAGGATAGGATCAGGACTGAGTCCATCTGAAGGACAGCTCTTGTTAGAGGTTGTAGAGATAAAGTCAGAGAGGACAGACAGACACTAGGGTTGCAATGATTAACCGGTTCGACTATTAACCACGGTGTGAAACGGTGCGGTTAACCCACCATAAAGACGTCTCCAACACAGCAAATTAATCAGCGTGAGATATTGGAGGTGTGGCGTGAGAGCGTGTGAAGAGGCGTGCGTCTCATGCTCAATACGTGAGAATTGGCAGCCCTGAAATGAGCTCCAACTGAGTCCGATTATGTAAGCGACTGAACGGATATACCGTAATATTAGAACAATGACTGTGAACGACGGTTCATATTGTGTTGTTCTACGTTTCCCCTGTATCTGTCTACAGCAAGCCCTATGACAAGCCATTTTAATATTTAATCAACACCTCTGTACTTCCTGTGCAACATAATAACATAATTTATCCTGTCCAAATAATATTCTTACTGATGACACTAGAAGATATGAACAAGTAGAGATTACAATAATTAATAAGCAATATTCATAATAACAACTGCACTAGTAGGACTTTAGCATCTTAACTCATGAAGGTGTCTCCATCCTTCAGTGCTAAACCTGACCAGCTGTCAACAGTTAAACTTTTTTGTCTTTTTACAGAAACTCAAAAAGGCTATTAGGCAAATATAATTAAAGGTGTGGTTCACTGAAGTAAATTTTACTGATTATTTCTGATAGAGTTTTTCATGCAGGCTGAACATGAAAATAGTCTCCTACACCTATCTCCTGCATTAGCTTCTGATAGAAAACAGACTGTGAAACTCTAGGATTAGAAAAGCCTGACAGATCTACGTCACACTGTCACTAACATTCATGGACTGACCCATCTTGAGTCACGACGGGGAAGCCTGTTGTTGGTTTAGCGTCCAGGAAAACCGCAGAGAACGTCTCTGCTAGTAGAAGCTAACCATTAGCATTAGCTACTCCACCACACAGCAGAACTCCTCCAGGCTTGTGTTATTTGTGGAGATAAAACATCAATGTTGCAGAGCAAGCAGTCAGTGGTAGAGTGAATTTTCCTAAGCAAAATCTCCGAAAACAATATTTCAGGGATTCAAAACCTTTAAAGAATCTAATCGTGCCTTTTATCTGTTATTTATAGAATGTGTGTGCTTTATTTACAGATGTGAAATCAGTTCATGTAAAATAATCGTGAAACTGACTATTTCTCTGACTATAATCAAATCACCAACATTTATAATCGTTGCAACCCTAGTTTGGACACGTCCAAAGGAGAGGGGCGTAAACAAAAACACCTGAGTTTATCACAAACAGTATATATATAATTAACTATCAATAATGGAACCTCAATGGAATTATTTTTTTCTATCATTCATTTGGCTAAATCTAAAACATCTAGTCATCTAGGTGTTGTGGTTTTGGAGCTGGACCAGTTCTAATGTGGTCTAGACCAGGAGTGCCCAATCCTGGTCCTCGAGCGCCGGTATCCAGCTCGTTTTAGTTTTAACTCTCCTTCAGCACACCTGATTTCAATCAGCAGGTGATTAACAGGCTTCTGCAGAGCCTGATGAGATGCTGCACAGGTGACTCAACCAGTGTGTTTGAGCAGAAAAACCACAAAACCTACTGGACCAGGATTGGGCACCCCCTGGTCTAGATGCAAAAAGTGCTCAAATATTTGATCGTTCACATATTAAAGGTTAAAAATATAAATAAATAAAACAACAACCGTCTAAGTATTCTGCTATTACTGCAGAATAATCTGGTCCAGATTTGAAGGGTCTAGGTTTTGTAATTAGAGCAGATTAAAGATGCTCAGGGAGTGGAAATGTTAGAAATGACCTTTCCAACACTGAAACTAAAAAAGGGAACCCACTTCAGCTTCATCTGTTGTAATATTTTATTTTAAATATGTTCTTAATTAAAACAAATGAACAAACAAGCTAAATGTTGACGTCAAAAAGCAACCTCAGGGTAGCTGCAGATTTAAGGGAGCCAAATTCAAGACTTTTTAAGACCTTTTTAAGGCCACTTTGACCAAATTTAAGCTATTTTAAAAATTAAATTTAAGCGATAATTTCCAGCTATTGCCTGGAACCGGTGCTAACCATGTCGCGAACGTGGGATTAGCCATCCAGTTACCATTAAACTTGCCCTTCCCCATGGCGCAAGCTCCCACTAGCTTAACCAGCTAATGTGCTCATCTAAAAAAAAATAGCCCCCTTTCACAACCAACTGACTGCGTACGGTTCCGCTTACGGCAACATCGTACACAAAAAATGCTGAACACTAACTAGAGATTCACGAAATTTTTATAGAAATAAAAGAATCTTGTTTATTGGGTCTTTGGTCATTTAAGACCTTTGGAAACTGGATTTAAGGATTATTTGTCGTTTTTAAGGACTTTTAAGGCCTTAAATTAAGAAAAGCCAATTTAAGACTTTTTAAGACTTTTTAAGGACCCGCGGATACCCTGAACCTCTAACGCATTTGCAGGGGTGGTGAACTTTGTCTATTTACTTGGTGTAGCATCATGAATGGCCTCTAATTTGTGACAAAGGTCACATTTTCCCAGCTGGGTCGTTCTGTAACTTTGCCCCACAGATTAACCCACCAGGAGCCGTGATGTCTGCTGAAACCATCTTTATCTGTTGCTGTTCCGTCCCAAGATGGACACTTCAAGATTTCACAATAATAATTTTAAATAATAATTTTAATAAACTCTTGACTTAATTACCGTTATTACAATCATCATAAATAATCTCTTGGTTCAGAATAAATGTATTTTAATTACTGAAATGACTTATTATGCTTTGGGTAATAATATTATTTATGATAATCAGTAATGTGTTTTCAGTAAACCAGAAGGTCATCTTGCACGTTTAACCACCTCATGCAGAGGGTATCCAGGGTAAACTTAAAACACCTCACATGTCTTTACTCATAACAACAAGCTTTCTGACGCTGAGAGGGCGTGTTCTGAGGGTTTTGTTAAAACCAAATCCCGCAGCTGTAAGTTCAGTTCTTGAACCAGACCAGGGTACGAGGGACGGCCGCCCAAGTCTCTACTAAGCATTCTGATAGAATTGCTCTGAATAAACGCACTGCAACCAGCTGACGCAAAAACTCCTTCAGAGTTAAGCCAGACGCTCGACACCGTGTACCCTGCAACATCTCTGGACCAGAGGATCGGTTCTACTCGGGTCTTCTCTACCGGACCGAGTACCCCTGACGCTGACAACATCCTCCTTGACCTCCGGATCCACACAGAGGGTCGTCTTGCTGGGTGAGGTAGCGAACAGATGGTGTCTGATGCTGTTCTTCCTAAGAAACGACTCAGTTCGCTGCAAACCAACTTTCCACCCAGAACGCTTCTCTCGCTGAAAGAAACCGGATATTCACGCATCCAAAAACCTCGCATTTCATTTTAGTTTCCATTCAGTCACAGGTTTGCTCTTAAAAACAAGTTTTAATATCAAATTGTCTGTTAAAAATTGTCATTTCAAATTGTAATTTTTAAAAGTGTTAGTAATAAATTCTTAACTTTTAAAAAACTCTGACTCTTCTTTGAAATGGAACACAGAATGGTGTATATTTTTGGTTATTGAAAACGCAAAGATTCCTTTAAACTTCTGATTACATAAATCAACTTTTGCTATTAAATTTAATTATCTTAAAATTAAAAATTTATCTTTGGATTAAAAATAGACCAAGCTCGTTGGCATATGAACTTCTATCGAATATATAATATCGTAGATATTTATATATGATAGAAGCTTCATTTGTTAACTTGTTTGGATCTTTTCTCAGGATCTAACCAAACTGATAGCAAACAGTGTTAAATCCCAGTATGTAGTTAACCACGCTACATTGGCTACTGGAGTATCAAGTGTTGATTTGCACAATCAAGATGTATTGTTGTATTCTTGTGTGCAAACAAAAACCCAAAAACATTTACTGGCATGTAGCAGGTGTGCTCCCCTCTGGTAGGAAGCTCCCCACCTATCTGCAGCTAGGTGGAAATGGGAGCATTACACTAATGATTTATAGAGAGAGAGAGAGAGAGAGAGAGAGATCGAGAGATCGAGAGAGAGAGAGAGAGAGAGAGCGAGAGAGAGAGAGAGAGAAGAATGACCACCTGTGAGATCAGGTTACCTGCAGCATCTTGTCGGGGCTTGGCTCAATGCCTGGTGGCATGTTGCTGGGGTCAAAGGCTAGCTGTTCCACTTCTGCAAAGTAGTTGACTGGGTTCCTGTTGAGAACCAGTTTACCCACAGGGATCAAAGGGTAATCTTTATGGGACCACACCTGGATCAGAGAAATCAGCAGTTATTTCTATTGTTCATTTTAGAAAGTATATGAAGGAAAATTTAAGAACTTACTCTAGAAAACTGTAACAAAAGGCCCGACTTACCTTAGTCACATCAAACGGGTTAAACGGGAACTTCTCAGCTTGTTCGAAGGTCATGACCTGTATGTAAAAGGTCCAGGATGGGTAGTTGCCGTTTGCAATGGCGTTGAACAAGTCTCCAATGGCATAATCAGGGTTGCTGGCTGCCAGACGATCCGCCACCTCCACCGGCAGATTCTTGATCCCTTGATCGGTCTAAAACACATCGCAATAAAAATGTCATCACACACAAACCAACATACAGCTGAATCAGTCCGAATCAGACCTTGTAATGGAACTTGCAGTAGACACACTGGCCATCAGCGTTGACCAGTTTGAACGTGTGAGAGCCGTAACCGTTCATGTGGCGGTAACCATCAGGCAAACCTCGGTCACTGAACAGGAACGAAACCTGGAGGAGGGAAGGAAGAGCTTTTCGGATCCACTCACCACATAATCACACTTCTTTAGTGAAGAAAGTTTAAGCTTTCGAGCTCTTCCAGCATCTGAGGTCAACTATAACCAGCCCGCTGTGTTGTTGTAATTTGACAAAACAAATTCAAGGACACTTAAAACTAACAAATTCAAATTCAGGCATTTTGAAACCACTGAATTATTAGAGTAATGTTCCTTTAATATTCAAACAATTAAAAGCTTTTGAGGAAAAACTTTCTGCTGCATCTTTTGGATGGTGGCTCCGAGGTCGCTACCTGATGCAAGCCCTCGGGTCTCAGACTCCAGAAGTCCCACACCATGTCCGGGTCTTTCATGTGGGTTTGAGGATTGCGCTTCTGGGTATGGATGAAGGATGGGAACTGCAGGCAGTGAAGAGAGGAGAACAGATCAATGACGCGTTTTACATGTAAATCATTTTAATAATGATGTTACCAAGTTTAGAAGAGTATACATGATAATACTCTAATACTTCCCATCCAGAACCCAGCTGGCCTGAACACATCACGTACATACAGCAGAAAGTAATCACACCCCCGTCCATTTTTCACTCCGTTATATCGCAGCCTTTTGCTCAAATAAAATAAATTCACGTTTTGACTCATTAACGAACACACAGCAGCCCATTTTTACAGAAAAACACAGAATTTTATGTTTATGTATTTAGCAGACGCTTTTGTCCAAAGCGACTTACAAGTGTCGCAATTTTAGACATTTCTGCAGATTAAAAAAAGACAAACTGAATATCATGTCCTGAGTGTTCAGACCCTTTGCTGTGACACTCATATTTAACTCAGATGCTTTCCATTTCTTCTGCTCATCCTTGAGATGGTCCTGCACCTTCACTGGAGTCCAGCTGTGTTTGGTGATCCTGATTGGACCTGATTAGGAAAGCCACACACATGTCTATAGAAGACCTTACAGCTCATGATGCAGGTCGGAGCAAACGAGGACCATGAGGTCAGAGGACATGAATTGTGAGACAGAATTGTGGAAAGGCACAGATCTGGTCATGGTTACAAAGACATCTCTGCGGCACTTAAAGTTCCTCAGAGCACAGTGGCCTCCATGATCCTTAAATGGAAGATGTTTGGGATGAGCAGAACCTTTCCTAGACCAGGCTGTCTGACCAAACTGAGCTACCGGGGGAGAAGAGCCTCGGTGAGAGAGGTGAAGAACCCAAAGATCACTGTGGCTGAGCTCCAGAGATGCAGTCAGGAGATGGGAGAAAGTTGTAGAAAGTCAACCATCACTGCAGCCCTCAACTAGCCAGGGCTTTATGGCAGAGGGACCTGTCAGAAGCCTCTCCTCAGTGCAAGACACATGAAAGCCCATGTGGAGTTTGCTAAAAAACACCTGAAGAACCCTGAGATGGTGAGAAATAAGATTCTCTGGTCTGATGAGACCAAGATGGAACTTTTTGGCCTTAAATCTAAGCGGTATGTGTGGAGACAACCAGGCACTGCCCATCACTGTGCAATACAGTCTCACAGTGAAGCACGGAGGTGGCAGCATCATGCTGTGGAGATGTTTTTCAGCTGCAGGGACAGGTCGACTGGTTGCAATAGAGGGAACGATGAATGTGGGCAAGAACAGGTATGTCTAGGACAAGAACCTTCTCTAGAGTGGTCAGGACCTCAGACATGAAGATGACCCCAAGCACACAGCTAAAATAACGAAGAAGTGGCTTCACAGCAACTCTGACTGTTCTTGAATGGCCCAGCCACAACCCTGACTTAAACCCAGTGAGCATCTCTGGAGAGACCCAAACATGGCTGTCCACCAACGTTCACCATTCAACCTGACAGACCTGGAGAGGAACGGCAGAGGATCCCCTCATCCAGGTGCGAGACACTTGTTGCATCTTTACCAAGAAGACACGGCCGTGGCCGTTTTAACTCCAAAGGTGCTTCTACTAAACACTGAGCAAAGGATCTGAAGACTTAGGACCATGTGATGTTTCAGTTTTCTTCTTAGTTAATCTGCAGGGATTTCTAAAAGTCTGTTTTTCTCTCACTGTTTACATTAATGAGGACAACACGAATAACAGATTTTAGCAAATGGCTGCAATATAACAAAGAGTGGAGAAGTGACGGGTCTGAATACCTTCTGTACCCGCTGTGGGCACATCACACACACACACAGGGAAATATTTTAGGCTTTTATTTCTCGTAATTGTGACGATTCTGACTAAAGAATATTACATGAGATCCTTTTAAAAGGGGAAACTATTTGACACAGTTGTCATTAAGATCAATGCGGCATGAAGGCTGATGGATAAAAACTGATATGGACTATTAATGTTATTAATGTCCTGACTGTTTAACATCTGGCGTTTTTAAACAAAGTTTCATCCATTTATCTTACTCTGGTAACAGACAGGCTTTTATAGTTCTTACAGGGAGGACTGACCTTGCCCTCAGTACCAGGACCGGTACTGGTCCCCTGATCAGTAGAACTCCCTTGAGAAAGTCCAGACTGCTTTGTGCTTTGTTGATTTAGAAATGCACCTGGTGTGTCTTCCTTGCCTGAGAGTCTGTGAAGAATGTCAAACGTGTGTGTGTGCTTATCTCTTAATAAAACCTTTTGGAAGGCAGCTGCCCAATGAGAGCGAACCTAACAACTGACTGGTGTGTACTTTTCCTCTCCACTTTGCAAAGTCTAAACTGACTGTTTGATTATTGGTATTGACGAACTGATTACTATAACCCCCTGTGCTTTGAAGCTCCCTAAGGTAATCCTGGATTGATAAAATTACCCAACAGGCCACCAGCCTGGGTCAGGTTACTGCTGAGCTGTGATAGCGGCCCACAGAGAGCAGGTCACCTTCCATAGATTCTCTTTGAGACGGTTCGAGTCGGGCCAGTCGGGTCACTGAACCCGATCTGGCGGTGCGACAGGGGCCGAGTCCTGCTGAAGAGGACTTTGGACCACTGAGCAACAATCCAGGGGCTTATTTAGAAAACTGCTTTAGCTCAGCAAAACAAATGCACTCTGACCTATAAACCACTGCATACACACACCTGCACCACACTACCTTTTTAAAAACACTCTTTCCACAAATGTGCTCAGGTGACTTAGGATCCTATCCTGCCTACTACACCTAAAGTACTTCGAGTACTCTGCTTATAATGGGCCATTCCCATCTGTACCGGGTCGGCCCGGGCCGGGTAGCCCCAGTCGGCCCCAGCCTGGCCCGGTTGATTCCACACATCCTTGCCTTAAGCCCATGTGGGCTGATTCTACCCACCAATCAGAAGCTTGCTCTAATGGAAGGTGTGAATTTGCTGTCAGCAGTGGGTGTGTTGGCCCTGGTCGGCCTGAAGCAGACCCCCTCCAGAAGAGGGCTGAGAATGAGCCTTGGTTGGCCCGGAAAAATACCAGGCCACCCAGATATGTAAACAACCTACGCTACCCGGCCCGGGCCGACCCGGTACTGATGGGAATGGCCCATAAGTAACCTGGCTGCTCTGTGGCATTTCACAGGTAACCACTTCTCGTTGTTTTAACGTTTCTAAAACAGCGTAGATGAGGATTTGGTTTTACCGTCTTTTGCATATAAGGTTGGGCACACGCATGGGCGTTGTCCTCTGCTGCCCGCAGATAAACGGAGCAGGAAGTAACGCCACCGGCGTGGGCGGTGCTACAGTGGTGGCAGAAACTTTAGCAGTAAAAGGTAAAAAACAAACATCTAACGAACCATTTCTCGTCCCTACTGTGTGCTGGCAGTAGGAACACACTTAATCGAGTAACTTTGAGGGAAAAAAATAGCATTTTTTTTTACTTTTACTAGAGTAATATTATTATGAAGTATCTACTCTTACTTGAGTACATTCTCTAGCTACTTGACTGAATGACGATCCAGCCGACTGTAACCAGACTGCAGCAGACTGGTGTCTGGTTCCCATCTGCAGCACCTGCTGAAGGTGAGGCTGCAGTAACTAGCTCATGCAGACAGGAACCGTCCTTTGGGCTGCTCCGATTCATTTCTAAAGATTTGTCATGAATAAGAGTCATTTGAGTGTGTTTGTGCCTTCATGACTTATTCTTCCTGAGACGCTAAACTTTCAGTTTTCATCGCTAGAAATAAAAGCTTGATGTATTAAACTAGAACAAATCTTTATACAACTTCTGCCGGAGCCTAAATTTGGGGCTTTTTCACAATATTCTGCATTATTAGATATTTCACATTAGCGTCTACGTGATGCATTCAGAACATAAGTGAAATAACTTCGATGCTGCATTAGACCTTTGCAAAGGCTGAATCTTAAACGTGCACCCACCAACATGGCATCCCTGATAAAGAAGATGGGGGTGTTGTTTCCAGTCAGGTCCCAGTTACCGTCTTCAGTGTAAAACTTGACCGCGAAGCCTCTCGGATCTCGCACCGTGTCTGCTGACCCAGATTCCCCAGCTGGAGAAACAAGCAGGCTTTGTCTTTAAACACCACTGACCTTTCGACCTTTGGCTGTCTTCTGCAAGCTGTGATCCTCTAACTGGCTGCTTTTAGCCCCTCTGGTATTTTTATTACATTTTACAGCTTTACGGCAGGCTTTGTTACCGAGGGCATGCTGTGAAAGAACTCCAGCCTTTAAACTGTTCACCTGTGAGAACTGTGGCTTTGAGAATCAAAGCTAGCGAGGCGCTAACGTTCTCACTGATGTAAAAACTCTAAAGAACTCTTAGAAAAGGACTGAACCATAAACAGCTACGCTTTTACCAAACCCAGTCCTGGTGTGGAAGGGCCTGGTGTAGAAGAGCCTGGTGCAGCAGGGCCTGGTGTGGAAGGGCCTGGTGCAGCAGGGCCACGTGACCAGTGCTGATTGTGTAAACGGGCTCCTGACTCTGTACCAGTCACCACTCCTACACTCACTAATCAGCTGACCACCACATCTCATGGAGGTTTGCTCGTTTGGGTCTTTCACATCATTTATATCATATAAATGTGCACACGTCCCCAGACATGAACTCCCACCCAACACATCGATTAGAGTCAAGTGGACCTTGTTATTGTGGCTGATATGAGCCTCTTGTTACGTAGCAGACATGGTAAACATTTAACCAGCCAGGCTTTAGACCCGTTGACTCGACGGAGAACTGATGGTTTTCAGCTTCTAAATGCATCTCAGAAACATCCATTAACGCCTTCATGACAACAAAAACCCACGAGTATGTTCTTACCCACAGTGGAGAAACGGACAGCGATAGGTGTGGTCTTTCCAACGTGTTCAAAAACTTTAGCCTTGCAGTAGCGTGTGATGTCATGAGTGACCTCAAAGTAGCCGAAGGCCCCTGCATCAGGAAGAAGTTTTTCACATGTATGCACTACTTCTCATTGTGTTGCTGTAACAGCACTGAGGAAGGAACATAAAATAAAGTAGAGAGAGGATTGGTCCAAACTGACCAGCCCCTTTGGCATGCACCACCCTCTCTGGGATGCGTTCACGATCAAAGTGAGCCATCTCGTCTGTGAAGACCACATCCTGTACGAGCAGAGGACCTCTCGGCCCTGCAGTCTGCAGGTTCAGCTTGTCTCCGACGGGATGGCCACCGCCTGTGGTCAGGACATCAGGCTTCTGGAACACACAACACAACTAAAGCGTCAACACGGTGCAGAGAAAAGGACCATGCAATGCCACAAAGTCCGTTTGCTGCAGACAAACATGCACCATGACTGTAACTGCACAGAGATCACGTATGTAATAAAATAACAGCTGAATAAAGTTACGCTGCCATTCAACCAGGAAACAAGCCAGGTGGCTCTGTAAACAACCACGTGAAATGAGTGTAAACAACATTATTATGTTTGATAATTCACAGAAAAACGAAGCATTAAAAGCAGCTTTTTGCACGTTTCTACTAGGATTTTCACACATTTGTCCCCCTCTCCAAACTACAGCAGTAACGCTCAAAGGGGCTGTTTTTGCGTCATCACACCTTTAACCACACGCTGAGGGCTCAGGCATCACATGTAGAGAAGCGTTAGCATATCTGAACAAAGGGAAGCTGGGCTTTAATTTTGGCCTTTTGCTTTGAACATTCCTGAAACCACAGAGTCCGATAAGATAGCAGCTGGAATTATCTGGAGCTCCACCCGTGGAGACCATCCTTCCTCTGGGTGTAGCTGAACATCTAAACAAAGACGCGGTCTGCGCATCTGCATAAACAGGGCTGGAACACCAGGGTCGTGTAGAAATTCCGCTCTGAGACTGTTCTAGAAGAAACTTCTCTAGTTGTGAGGCTCTAGCGGGATATTAAACAGAACCACAGAAGAGTCTCCGTGTGTGTGACGTAGATGAGCAGCGTCTCGTTATTTATGTGCAGCTAGCCTGTTAGCTAGTTGAAACCTAGCGTGCGTACAAACCTGAGAGCTTCTGTTCTCCTTCCATGTTTTCATCTGGTCAGAGGTTTTGGCCCTGCTGTCCGCCATCTTTACCGCGCTGAAGGACGCCAACACTCGGTGTTGTAGAGAAATGGGTTATCTATTTATCCCAAACCAGAGGCGTGCTTCCTGGACTTTGTCCGGATTGGCCCTGCCCCTTCTCGCTCCCTTCCTTCTGATTGGCTGACCTATTTTCAGAGGGTGAGCTTCTTCACTTCTTCAGTCCCCTTTAGTATGTTTTATACCATCTCTCTGTTTTAGTTTTTTAGCTGTTGTGATTTTTGGATGGATTAATTTTTCCTTAAAAAGTTTAACCAGAAACGCTTTTTGCGCGGAAAGGAAAACAATGCAATAAAATTAAAAGACAAAATAATAATTATTTGTTAAGTCCACCATAGGTTTGTTGCTTTCGATTCAATTCAAAAATACCTTATTAATCCCAGAGGGAAATTGATTAACGCTTTTCAACGTTTTCAGGGTGAAAACCAACGTGTAGCCTCACATCAGGAAGAAACCTCCAGAGGATCCTGACTCAAGCACACACACACACACACACACACACACACACACACACACACACACACACACACACACACACACACACACACACACACACACACACACACACACACACACACACACACACACACACACACACACACACACACACACACATAAACAACATACCAGATAGTACTTATATGGCATTGGGATTTCTTAGTAAATATTCTATTTGGTGAGAGATAAACTTTATTGTATTTATTCTAGTGAATCTATAATTAAACAGGTAAACTAGTAGTAACATATTCAATGTCAAAGAGAGTAAAATGTTATCATCAGGAGAGGGAGAATGTTTAAATGGTTACTTAGCAGCAGTGTTCAAGCCAGTGGCCCCCTCCTTCTTCCATCTCAGGAACGTTGCAAAGCTGAGTCCCATTCTGTCTCGCTCTGAACTTGAGACTGTTCTCCACACCTTCATCTCCTCACGCTTAGACTACTGTAACTCTCTTTTCACGTGTCTGAGCAGAACCTCCCTGAACCGTCTACAGGTGGTTCAGAATGCCTGTGCTCGGCTTCTGACCAAGTCCTCCAAACACACCCACATCACCCCACTTCTCCTCCAGCTTCACTGGCTGCCAGTCAACTTCAGGGTTCATTTCAAGATCCTGGTTCTGGTCTATAGGGCCTTACATGGACAAGCACCATCTTACATTGGTGATCTTCTTAGTCCCTACACCCCCAGCAGGTCCCTGAGGTCCAGTGATCAAAGCCTACTGGTTGTGCAGCACCAGGCTAAAGACCAAAGGTGACAGATCATTTGCTGCTGTGGCCCCCAGACTCTGGAACTCTCTCCCCCTGAGCCTGAGATCAGTGGACTCAGTGGTCTCCTTTAAAAAGCAGCTGAAAACTCACCGGTTCAAAGTGGCTTTTGTGTGACCTTCTTCACCACTCTCTTTATTCTGCTCTCCCCACCTATTCCACCTTCCTCAGGATTCACTGATTTCCCTCTTTCCTATTCAATCTCTCTCATTCTTTACATTTTTAATCACAGTCTATTTTTTTGCTCATTTAAAATATATTTACAATCATTTTCTAAATGATTTTTTATATTTTTACATTTTTTGTTTTTGTGAAGTGCCTCGTGATTTTTATCTTGAGAGGCGCTATACAAATGATATTGTCTTCTTCTTCTTCTTCTTCTTCTTCGTCTTCTTCTTCCATGGGGCCACCACAGTTCAGCAGAACATCATTGTAGCTTCTTCTGGGGAGAAAAACACTTAAGAGAAAAAATAAAGTTGACAGCTGAAATAGCAGGAAATAATACAGTTAAAGAGCAGATTGTAGAAGAAAGTAGTCGAGTGTGGAAAGTGGTCAGTATGTCCTCCAGCAGTCTAAGCCTACAGCAGCATAACTACAGAGATAACTCTGGATAACCTAGCCTTTTAGATGGAGGCATGTTGGAGGCAGGGCAAGGGGGAGCCGTCTTTACCGACTGTACACTCCATCTCCCTCAACTCCCCCACTTGTCCAGATTTGGGCTAATATCAGATTTTAACCGTATGCCCTATATGGGTCCAGTTCTACCCTTTCTCATTTCTGTTCCTTTTTTCCCTTGAGTCTACAGGTTGGTCTCTGGAGGGCACCATGGTGATGCTCTACTCATCGGATTTACCAGCAGGTGTGCATGTTGCACACCAGCAATTGATCACTCACCAACTGCTACGGATAAAATGAACTGGAAGACAAGACAACCCTAGACCTTGTTCTGAAGAAATAAGCTAACTTGGGGGTCCAGTGTGCGTGCACTCCCTTCTCTTGTTGGAACTGTTAGGAGAAAGCAGGTAGGTGGTTGGGTTGGTCACGGACACTGTTGATCATTGTGGAATAGGTTCCTGTGTTGTATCGCTGGGGTGTCGGCTTCGATTGGCCGTGAAGGGAGTCTGGTGGATCGGCCGATGGCCTGTTAGGATCCGGTAGTACGATTTTTCCTTCTCTGTTCCCGTTCAATCTCTCGATGCTGCTATAGGGCGGAGGGCCGGTGAGGGAGCTGGGTTGCTACGCCGGTGGAGAGTAGAGGCATTTCAAAGAGGTATCATAGCTCCTCATCTCCAGATGGGGTGGTGGACGAGGGTTCATCTGAACAGCTGCGGACCGGAGGGGTTGGTGAGTAGCGCCTGGTTGTTCGATTGAGGGCGTCAGGCAGGGGTGGCTTTGCTTCTGTCAGCCCGTTGTGGCTGTCTCGGTAGTTGAAGGAGACAATGGGGGATGTGCAGGATGCTTCTGTCTTGCCTGGTGGGGTGTTGTCTGTAGTGTGTCGTACTGGGGTGCAGCAGGACAAGGCACTCAAACTTAAGCCGGGCGTACACTGTGCAACTTTTTCACTCGCAGTGTTCAGCTTCAGCTCAAACTGTACGACTTCCTCGCAGGGCAGATCTCACGAGTCATGTGCTCACACTGCACGACCCAGTTCTCGCATGCGACCTGACTGCTCACACTGTACGTCTGGTAGCAACACGTCGGACCTAAAAATATGCTAAAAATAGCAGGTTTTACTCAACACGTCAGACTTTTTTGTCTTGTCTTGCCTGTTGTCCTTCGGGAGTGCTGCAGGACACACAGGGATTTATGGGGGTTGGATGAGGAAAACGAAATAAAGAAAGTACATCTGTGTTTTGTGATCAGTTTAATTTGACATGAACACGACAAACACGCTTTCTTGACAATCTTTGTGAGTAAAAAAACGTGTAGAAACAAAAACGAACAGTGTGTGTTATTAGGGAAATAGCAAGCGGCGTTGATGCAGGATTGCGCATGCGCCGTGAGCGGTTCTGATGCTTTTTGGGTCGCAGCTGCTCGCAGCGCCGCTTCAACAGTGCGATACCCTCATGAGGGACGAGCAAAATTTTAAACACGCCAGAAGTCCGTGCATCCTCACGACTGCTGATCGGCAGCTGGTCACATGGTGTTAATCGCCTCTCGTAACCCCCTGTACACTACACGGCCGCTCGGCGCAAAACTCGCCCCGATGTCGTGGATTCTCGCACGACTGGAAAATCGGCTCAAAAAAGTGAAAAAGTTGCACAGTGTACGCCCGGCTTTAAGCGGTTTCTGGATGTGGGGGTTGATGTGGTAGTATCGCGTGCTGAGGCTGGTGTTCAGGGTGTGGTATATGGCATTCCGAATCATGTTCCTGAGTCAGAGGTTCTTTGCTGTCTGAAAAGGGGTACTGTTACAGCTGTACGGCGAATGGGCTACGACGCTCGGGGTTCTACACCCTTGTTGCTGTCTTTCAGTGACTCTGAGTTACCTGGCCATGTTATGTTGGGCTATGTCAGCTATTCTGTCAGGGCTTTTGAGAGGGCACCTTTGAGGTGCTGTTGGTGCCATAAATTCTGTCATGTGGCAGGAGTCTGCATGGGCGTTACGAGGTGTAAGAGGTGTGGGGGCGACCATGATGGTCTCCAATTTGTGGAGGTCCTCTGTTGTCCCAATTGTGGGGGGCATTCACCAGACTATTTTTAGGGGTTGTGTGTTTTATTGAGAGGCGGTGGCTGTTGAGGCCTATTGGTCAGATCGTAAGGTTTCATACACTGGGGCAGCGCTTCGGTTGAAGGATGGTGGTGGGGTGGGGTCTCGGGAGGCCGGGGGTGGGTGATGCGGCTTCGTTGCTTGTGGACAAGGGGATGTTGGGAGGTAGTGGGGTGATGGTGGGGGATCCAACACGGTTTATGGCTTTTATTGTGGCGGCTTTGTGGAGGGTGAGGACTGTGGTGACTAGCAAGTCATATGCGACGTGTGAGGTGTCGGCTGTGGCTGAACAGCTTCTGGGCTTCTCTGGTGTGGATCCCAGTGAGGTTTGGAAGACTGCTTGTTCACAGGGAATGGGTGGTCCTGGCATTGGGGGTAGTTGGGGTGCAGTTTTGGTGGTGGATGGCGGTGGTGCGCTTGACAAGGATGGGAGTATGGTGGAGGACAGCCCTTGATGGTGACTTCTAGAGTCCTGCAATGGAATGCCAGGAGTTTGGTAGCCAATGATCAGGAGTTGAAGAGGATGATTGAGGGTCATGTTGCTGTGGGGTGTGGTTTGCAGGATGTCGGGTGCGCAGGTGTGGCACAGGATACTTGTGCTTTTTGATGGAGGCCGGTTGGCGTCGGATGATAGGGCGAAGGCAAATCTGTTGGCAGCTCAGTTTCAGAGGGTTCATAGCTCGGCGAACATCTCGGCCGAGGACGGTGCTTACCGGAAGAGGGTGGTGTTGGGTCTGGGTCTGGGTCAGCTGACAGAGGTTGGGGAGGGATCTGGTGTCCTGAACCTTCATTTCTCTATGGTAGAGCTTAAAAGAGCCATTCAACTCAACTCTCAACTCAACTTTATTTGTGAATCGTGCCTTACAGGCAAAAAGATGTCACCAAGGTGCTACACTGATCAAGTAAAAAACATAAAACATTAAGTCCAGAAAATAAAAACATTGTTTCACAAGATACAGATAAAAATACAGTGAGTGCACAAATCGCTATAAGTAAAACAATAAAAACTAGTTAGAAAGGTTAAAAGACAGATCATAAAAACTAGGTTTTTAGCCTTGCATTAAAAACCGCAGCAGAGGTGGAGGCCCTTATGCTGAGAGGAAGCTCGTTCCAAAGCTTAGGACCTGCCACAGCAAAGGCCATATCACCACGTGTCTTTAGGCGCTTTCTTGGGACCGAGAGGAGCATGAGATTCTCCGAGCGGAGTGACCGTGCAGGGGTGCACGGTTGAAGCAGTGGCACCAAGTAAGGAGGGGCCAAACCTTTTAACGTTTTAAAAGCCAATAAGAGTATTTTAAAACGAATCCTTACATCAATGGGCAGCCAATGAAGCACAGCCAGCACAGGAGTAATGTGGTCATACTTGTGCCTGCCCTCTAAAAATCTGGCAGCAACATTCTGCACCATTTGCAACCTGGCTATTGAGCCCTTGCTCACACCGAATAAAACAGAGTTGCGGTAGTCCAATCGCACCGTAATAAAAGCATGGACTACCGTCTCAAGATCATGACTTGACAAAAATGGTTTGATCTTTGCCAACTGATGAAGGTGGAAAAAGGAGGTGGAGATCACTCCATTGATGTGGGTATCAAAACTAAGGTCGCTATCCAGTTTAACACCAAGATTAGTCACCGATGTAGTCAGCTGGCCATTAAATGACCCACAGTCAGTTAGGGAAGAGTCACAATGAATGCTTGGAGCAAACAATATAGCCTCTGTTTTGTGATCATTTTGGCTCAGAAAATTTTCACTCATCCAGGTCTTGATCTCCCTCAAACAGTAAGTAAGAGTAGAAATAGAGAGACCACATGACGTGTTCAGAGGCAGGTACAGCTGACAATCGTCAGCATATAGGTGGAATTGAACCCCAAGCTGACGACAGACGTCACCTAAGGGCAGAATGTAAACAGAAAACAACAGAGGTCCCAATATCGAGCCCTGTGGTACCCCCAGGTTAGATCAGAGTACTCTGAGGAGTAACTTCCCATCCTTACACACATTTTTCTGTTTGTCAGGTATGATCTAAACCATTCCAGGGCTAACCCTGAAATCCCGACATAATGATGTAGAAGGTGAAGCAGCACTTCATGATCTATCGTGTCAAAGGCAGCCGTGAGGTCCAGCAGAAGTAACAACACAGAATCACCGCTATCAGTAGGTAGATAAATGTTATTGAGCACTCTAACCAGTGCAGTCTCCGTGCTGTGTAGAGCTCTGAAGCCAGACTGTAAAGTCTCAAAAATGGCATTCTCATCCATAAAAATCAAGAGCTGGTGGTAAACACATTTCTCTAGTACCTCACTTAGGAATGGAAGTTTTGAAATCGGCCTGTAGTTTGCAGCCAGCGAACCATTCAGTCCAGGCTTTTTGGGCAAAGGTTGAATAACCGCCTTTTTGAAATCGTCAGGGACTATACCAGAACTGAGACTCATGTTAATTATGTGCAATATTAAAGGGGCGACTACTGGAAAGTCTTCTTTAAAGAGGCGCGTTGGCATCACTTCATCCGGCGAGCCTCTCGGCTTAGCCTTCCCAGCGATCTTGATCAAATCATCTAGACTAATTTGTTGAAATGCTACCAAACCTCTGATGGCAGTAACAGAACTGTCACGATCTGCTCCTACCTCCCTCTGACTCCTGCCCCTGATTAGTGTTTATTGGTGTCACCTGCCCCTTGTTAACCTGCCCATGTGTTCCTGATTGTTTCCCTGTGTATATATACCTCCGTCTTGTTTGTGTCAGTGTCGGATCATTGTTTGTTTGTTGTGTTGTGACTTGTTTCCTGCCGTATCCTGTCATTAAATCCATTTTTATTTTGATCCGTGCCTGCATTCCTGCCTCCTGGTCAGCTCCACCACACATGGTCCGCCGCCACCGACACCACATCATGACAAGAACGGCCACATACCGGTGCCCTAGACATGGTGGCCCGGAGTGCAGCAACTTTCCCAATAAAAAAGTTGTAGTGTCACGAAGGTCCTCCAATTTGTGACAAAGGTCACATTTTCCCAGCTGGGTCAGCTGGGTCGACTGTAACTTTGCCCCACAGATTAAACAAGCGAGGAGCCATTATGTCTGCTGAAATCATCTTTTTCTGCTGCTGTTCCGTCCCAGATTGAAGGACACGTCAAGATCACAATAATAATGTTAATAATAATTTTAATTAAAGCTGCAAGCAGCGTCGTTCGGCCCTCGCAGTGAAGCTGCTCGCCCTCCGTCCGCACCCCCTCTGCTCCATCCCCGACGCTCTCCAAACCCAGCTCCGCGCCGCTCCTTCCTGGCCGGCAGCCGGGGGCATGTCTGGCAGAACAGAAACGTCAACCACCCCGACACCAGAAACCGTGAACGGCCTCCTCGTCCACACCTCACCCTGACTCAGCATCCCCTCTGAGCCCAGCATTACACGTATCACCACTAGGAGATACTCTATCTTTACCACACTGGTGATGTGATGTTCAGTCTCGGGCAAATCGGAGGCTGTTTGTGGAAGTTACAGTCAAACGTAAGGTCACAGAGTCACGCCAGAATTATTTCATTTTCTATTCCTCACTTCTGATTACCTTCAATGGTCTGTTGGTTGCAACCAGGTACAAAAACTAACTTTTTTTTATTTGACTATTTTTCTGTCCTGTATCTGTTTATTATCTTCCTGCATCTCCTCTCAATCCTAAAGAGAAACTGCTACCTGGGTTCATATATATTCACCTTATGAGTTACCTTTGAACTGCAGTTCTAAAAGATCTACCGACCGCTAAAACAGCGGAGTGCTCCCTGCTTGGTGGCCGCATCAGTGATCGGTGCGTCACCGGATGACAAGGTGATGCGCCCCGCTCCACAGTGAAACGCATCAGGCGCAAATAAAAGACAGAAAACATTAAAGGAAATGAACCGAGATGAACGATCGCCTGTTAAATTAGTTTTTGAGGTGGCGACACCTGATTTGATAATGTTACTGTGGCCGTGCTCAGGACGCAGATCTACCGACCGCAAAAACAGCGGAGGGCTCGCTGCTTGCCGGCCGCATCAGTGATCGGTGCGTCACCGGATGACAAGGTGATGCGCCCCGCTCCACAGCAGCGAAACACATCAGGCGCAAATAAAAGACAGAAAACATTAAAGGAAATGAACCGACATAAACGATCGCGTGTCAGTGCCGACGCTCTGGCACAGCGCGTTGCCCCCCCGAGCGCAAGAGCTTGTCACCTGCTGACAGCAGGCTGCTGTCTTTTCCGAGGGCTGCATCTTGCCGGTCATTATCACGTGACAGCGACTAGTCGATGACAGGCATAAAAAGTCACTATAGTGAAGTCGACTAGTTCATACAACCCCTACTGCTCCCCAGTGTTCTGCAGCATAATCAGCACGTTCTCTTTGAACTTGATATCAAATTTTCGCCTCCTCTTCGTCTCCGCACAGTTAAAGTTACCCTCGCTGTCTACCACGGGCAAATCAAAAGTGAGATGATGACACAACCCCCCCCCCCCCCCCCCCCGTACTTGCTTGTTACCACCTTCCACCCGGCCACAATAAGAGACCGGCCATTATTCACCTCCGCCGACTCCGACCAAAATATGAGACCCAGCCATTAATTGAATACAGGCCTGTATTAGAGGATTTACGGTACTTATTATATTCTATAGGATTATAATAAAGTAATTAATATTTTCATTTCACAGATTGGTCACATCTTATTATTGACTAACACTTTGTTTGATTAGCTTTATTAAAATAGAGTTCTTTGATTTAATAAAAAGAAAGAGTGTCCTTTGTCTTCATTCTTGTCTTGAGCTGGAAAGGAAGCAGTTTAGAGCAAATGCATGAGACCTTGAACAATATCTCATGCAGACTAGTTCTGTGTCGGGGGCATGACTTTAGGTGGAAAACAGTCATTTCATTCCGTTACATTTTATATTTACCTCTTTTATTCTAAATGTTTGTGCTTTGTTTTCATTTCTTTGTTTTACTTATTTATGCAGCCTGTTGGCCAGGTCATGTTTGTAAATGAGACGTGGTTCTCAAACATTTTACCTGGAAAAATAAACTTTAAATTAATCAATAAAGCATCCACTCAACCAAAGAATGCTCAGTCTTCAACTGGTTTTTATTTGAAACAGCATTCACACAATACATCGTGTTCTCGAATCACATTCACATAAAGTGCCAAATAACTTCGTGCATGATCGAATGGAGGCTACAGCTTTGTTGAATGCAAATGATGAATGTAAATGAAGATATTGCTTCATCATTTGGCACAATAGGAAACATTTTATATCAAATCACCCCAAGCGTGTTATTTTTTTAGATAGATTTTCAAAGTGAGGTGAGAAAGGCAGTCCATAGTTGAGCAACCTGAAAACCAAAAAGGATCCATGAAGCTGGTTGTGTGTTGGTTCAGTTTCCACACGAGTCACGTTCAGGTTACAACAAAACACGTTTGCATGAGTGTGTATGTCGTAGAGAAAGAAAAAGCCCCCTAGAGCTTTGCATGCTTCTGCTGTCGTCGACTCACGTGTTCTGCCTTCAAGCTGCAATGCATCACCAGTCAGATTTTACAACAAGAGCTAAATTAGTGACTGATGGGAAAACCTCCGCTGACTCAGAACCTCTAGTTTAAAACAAACATATATACAAAGGAGTTAGTAGACTTTACATCATGAATGAAACTCCCAGAGGTCTTTATTTATAGCAGTGACAGACACACTTTATATATAAGTTTTCTGAAAGGACTTGGATGTTAGTTATGAGATAAATTCTGAAAAATGTGATTCGAACAAATCATTTTGCAGGAAAATGAAATGAGGATAGTGTTTAGGTGGGCTATGTACAACCTTAAATACACGTTTGCAACAAGTATTGCATTAAAAATAGAACAACATTGCCTTTATTATAATGATTGCAACAAATTTGGCCACCCTGCAGCAGCTGCTACAAATGACATGTTTTCACCTGGATAGGATCACCTGCATATTTAGAAAAGCACAATCAATACTGAATATGAAAACTCTACGACCCGTCTGTCACTAGTAGCACATGACACAAGCTAACAGGACTCATCTCTAAATCTACAACCAATTTCATCAAGTAGGAATTATCTGGTTTCAAACATCATAAACACATCCTAGGGGGCTCAAGCAAGAACAACCAGACATTTTCTAGATAAGTGAAAAGGTTTTCCTTCTTTCTTTAAACGATTTCTCAAATGAAACAGAAAGGTTCAGAGTCCTGACCTTCGGCTCTGTACTCTAAATACTTGTGAACGAAAGTCATCAGACAGGGCATGGCGGTGTTAAATAGACGTATGTACAGGCTTTACCTCACACATCATCATGATGGGCCCAAGGTTCTTGGCCTGGTTTACATGTGAGTTGGTCTATCATCACAAAAGTGTTCAGGAATTAGACTCAAAGCTGCAGTAGAATGACTGGAAAGTTGTTCTTACTTTTGAAAAAGATGACCTGTTTTCCTCCCATCAAGAGAGAGAAAAGCCACCATTAGACAGAGGAGGAAGTTTCAGCTTTTAAGCAGCTTTGAGTTTCAGAAAGTTTCACAGCAAGTTTTAGTCATGTGATCAGAAAGTCTCACCAGCAGCCAAGAAAGCCTTCAAAAGGCAGGTGTGTGTGTGTGTGTTTCTGTGTGCATGATTGCATGTGTGTGTGTGTGCATGCATGTGTGTGTGCATGCATGTGTATGCATGATTGCATGTGTGTGTGTGTGTGTGTGTGTGTGTGTGTGTGCGTGATTGCATTTGTGTGTGTGTGCGTGAATGCATGTGTGTATTTGCACGTGTGTGCATGCATGTGTGTGCATGATTGCATGTGTGTCTGTGTGTGTGTGTGTGTGTGTGTGTGTGTGTGTGTGCATGATTGCATGTGCGTGTGTTCTTGATTGCATGTGTGTGTGTCTGTGTGCATGATTACGTGTGTGTGTACATGATGGCACGTGTGTGCGTGCATGTGTGCGCATGATTGCATGTGCGTGTGTGTGTGTGTGTGTCTGTTCGTGATTGCATGTGTGTATTTGTGTGCGTGAGTGCATGTGTGTGTGTGAATGTGTGATTGCATGTGTTTGTGTGTGTGTGCATGGTTACGTGTGTGTGATTGCATGTGTGTATAATTATGTGTGGTGTGTGTGCGTGTGTGTTTGTGTGTGTGCGTGATTGCATGTGTGTATTTGTATGCGTGAGTGCATGTGTGTGTGAATGTGTGTGATTGCTTGTGTTTGTGTGTGTGTGCATGGTTACGTGTGTGTGTGTGTGTGATTGCATGTGTGTGTGATTACGTGTGGTGTGTGTGTGTGTGTGTGATTGCATGTATGTATTTTTGTGTGCCTGATGGCACGTGCGTGTGTGTGTGTGTGACTGCATGTTTGTGTGTGCGTGTGTGTGTATGTATTTTTGTGTGCCTGATGGCATGTGCGTGTGACTGCATGTTTGTGTGTGCGTGTGTGCGACTGCATGCGTGTGTGTGTGTGTGTGTGTGTGTGTGTGTGTCTGTGCGCATGATTGCATGTGTGTATGTGTGTGGTGGCGGGGTGACTTGTGAGCTCTCTCACATTAAAGGAGCCCTCATCACAGTTAAAAACTTGGATTTTAACTGTTTCCCTCCTTTTTTCCTGCTGCCAAATGTCCTATGATGAGGAGCAATCATCTTCAACAATCAAGAACATGTCCGGTTGCTGTCTGAACCTGCTAACATCTGCATGCCCGGGAGGGCACAAACCATAACCAGCTCACATCTTCTCTGTCCTGATGCTTTTCCACACCGATGCTAAACCACCGCAGACACCATGTTGACACAGAGGCTGCAGAATCTGCTGAGGCTGAGCTGCTTTTCAGAACTCACCCAAAGTCAAAAGTCTGATTCACACGCTCATGTTGTAGAGGAAAGAACTAAGTTTTCAACCTGTTCACGTATAAAATACCTGACCCAGGATGATGATGATGAGTAATTAAGTCAGTAAAAGGGGATCATTAAACTCTGGTTTTACAGAATTCTCCCTCATACATATGAAGATAAACTGTTAAACACCAGTCACACATTTGGTCATGATGTGAACTCTAATTCTAACACTCTCAGATGTTGGCATGACACAAAATGAGTGTTAAACTGAAACATGGAGCAGACTTTGCCCTACTAGATCCTGCGTAGCGGGTGCCACATGGACACGGGCTTCCTCAGAGTGGCTAACATCTGATTCCAATGGGTGATCCCCATCCCACTGGCCTCAGGGCCGATGATCACATGACCAAGGTTTTCACCTCGCCCATCGTCAGTGGCTTCTGCTACCGTCACCCTCAGGGAGAGCTCCTGCAAAGAGCAAAACACTCTTTATACACCTTGCTAACAATTTATCCAAAGCAGTGCAGAACCAACAACGGTGGAAGACAACGGTCACTCATTTTGTCAATACATTTGCAGTGGACTCTAGTATAAGTATAATATAGTATTTACTCTGGTACAAGTATAGTATAGTATTTACTCTAGTATAAGTACAGTATAGTATTTACTCTAGTATAAGTATAGTATAGTATTTACTCTGGTATTAGTATAGTATTTACTCTAGTGTAATTATAGTATAGTCTAGTGTAAGTATATTTTAGTATTTACTCTAGTGTAAGTATATTGTAGTATTTACTCTAGTGTAAGTATAATATGGTATTTACTCTAGTCTAAGTATAGTATAGTATTTACTCTAGTGTAAGTATCATATAGTATTTACTCTAGTGTAAGTATAGTATAGTATTTACTCTGGTATAAATATAGTATAGTATTTACTCTAGAGAAATTATAGTATAGTCTAGTGTAAGTATATTATAGTATTTACTCTAGTGTAATTATAGTATAGTCTAGTGTAAGTATATTATAGTATTTACTCTAGTGTAAGTATATTATAGTATTTACTCTAGTGTAAGTATATTGTAGTATTTACTCTAGTGTAAGTATAGTATTTACTCTAGTGTAAGTATTGTATAGTATTTACTCTAGTATAAGTATATTATAGTATTTACTCTAGTGTAAGTATATTATAGTATTTACTCTAGTGTAATTATAGTATAGTCTAGTGTAAGTATATTATAGTATTTACTCTAGTGTAAGTATATTATAGTATTTACTCTAGTGTAAGTATATTATAGTATTTACTCTAGTGTAAGTATAGTATTTACTCTAGTGTAATTATTGTATAGTATTTACTCTAGTGTAAGTATATTATAGTATTTACTCTTGTGTAAGTATAGTATAGTATTTACTCTAGTGTAAGTATAGTATAGTATTTACTCTAGTATAAGTATAGTATAGTATTTACTCTAGTGTAATTATAGTATAGTCTAGTGTAAGTATATTATAGTATTTACTCTAGTGTAAGTATATTATAGTATTTACTCTAGTGTAAGTATATTGTAGTATTTACTCTAGTCTAAGTACAGTATAGTATTTACTCTAGTGTAAGTATTGTATAGTATTTACTCTAGTGTAAGTATAGTATAGTATTTTCTCTAGTGTAAGTATAGTATTTACTCTAGTGTAATTATAGTATAGTCTAGTGTAAGTATATTATAGTATTTACTCTAGTGTAAGTATATTATAGTATTTACTCTAGTGTAAGTATATTGTAGTATTTACTCTAGTCTAAGTACAGTACAGTATTTACTCTAGTGTAAGTATAGTATAGTATTTTCTCTAGTGTAAGTATAGTATTTAATCTAGTGTAAGTATAGTATAGTATTTTCTCTAATGTAAGTATAGTATTTACTCCAGTGTAATTATAGTATAGTCTAGTGTAAGTATATTATAGTATTTATTCTAGTGTAAGTACAGTATAGTATTTACTCTAGTGTAAGTATATTATAGTATTTACTCTTGTGTAAGTATAGTATAGTATTTACTGTAGTGTAAGTATAGTATAGTATTTACTCTAGTATAAGTATAGTATAGTATTTACTCTAGCGTAATTATAGTATAGTCTAGTGTAGGTATATTATAGTTTTTACTCTAGTGTAAGTATAATGTAGTATTTACTCTAGTGTAAGTATATTGTAGTATTTACTCTAGTGTAAGTATATCATAGTATTTAATCTAGTCTAAGTATAGTATAGTATTTACTCTAGTGTAAGTATAGTATAGTATTTACTCTAGTGTAAGCATAGTATTTACTCTAGTGTAATTATAGTATAGTCTAGTGTAAGTATATTGTAGTATTTACTCTAGTCTAAGTACAGTATAGTATTTACTCTAGTGTAAGTATCGTATAGTATTTACTCTAGTGTAAGTATAGTATAGTATTTTCTCTAGTGTAAGTATAGTATTTACTCTAGTGTAATTATAGTATAGTCTAGTGTAAGTATATTATAGTATTTATTCTAGTGTAAGTACAGTATAATATTTACTCTAGAGTAAGTATATTATAGTATTTACTCTTGTGTAAGTATAGTATAGTATTTACTCTAATGTAAGTATAGTATAGTATTTACTCTAGTCTAAGTATAGCATAGTATTTACTCTAGTGTAAGTATAGTATAGTATCTATCTACTCTAGTGTAATTATAGTATAGTCTAGTGTAAGTATATTATAGTATTTGCTCTAGTTTAAGTATATTATAGTATTTACTCTAGTGTAAGTATAGTATAGTATTTACTCTAGCGTAAGTATATTATAGTATTTACTCTAGTGTAAGTAAAGTATAGTATTTACTCTAGTGTAAGCATAGTATAGTATTCACTCTAGTGTAAGTATATTATAGTATTTACTCTAGTGTAAGCATAGTATAAAACTGTGGGAAAAAGGTTCTGGCGCTCCTGTTTCAGGAACTCGAAATGAGCCAGAGAAGAGTTGAGCTTCATACGACAGGATCTGGAGTCTTATTTCCTGATATTTGGACACCTCACCTCTGATTGGCTAACAGCAGCACGACTCTACCAATGACTCTGCTCTGCAACGTTGATGTTTTATCTCCACACATAACAAAAGCCTGGAGGAGTTGTGCTGTGTGGTGGAGTTCCTAATGCTAAGGGCTAGCATCTGCTAGTTGAGTTCCTTGGTGATGATAAATGGCCTGTATTTAATTTAGCGCCTTCTAGAGGCCTGGAAACCCCCAAGGCGCTTTACAACACAATCAGTCATTCACCCATTCACACACACCTTCACACCCTGGTGGTGATGAGCTACATTGTCGCCTCAGCTGAGGCACACTGACCTGGGGTACACGGACAGGGGCAGGTCTGCCCTACACAGGCACCACCTACTGATCACCACCAGCAAGCAAGAGGGGTTAAGTGTCTTACCCAAGGACACAAGAGCAGCAACAGGCTGAGTGAGAATCGAACCTGCAACCTTTTGATTACTGGGCGAGAACTTAACTCCTGTGCCACCGTCGCACCAACAACTCTCACTCACTCACTCACTCACTCACTCACTCACTCACTCACTCACTCACTCACTCACTCACTCACTCACAATCCTGACGCCAGCCAGAAAGTGCAAAAGGCTGCAGTTCCACCCTCCTCCACTAGGGGCCGGCAGCAGAAGTGTGCAGATCCTCACTCCCATGCCAAAAATGCCAACTTCACAGCAGAAACAAACATGTTTACATCCATCCATGTCAACTGTTAGGGGGTTAATTTTTTTTTGTAACTCTTTCGTTTAGGTTTAACACGGAGTCTAAGTCTTCTCCCTCTCCGGTTGGCCCGGAACAACAACAACAACAAAGAAAATGAATGCAAGTCAACGGGGCTAAAAGAGCTATTTTCTAATGCGCTTTGCTTTAGACTGCTGTAGTCATCATGACTGCCGGTTGAGCTTTCTAAAGCCTAATTTATACTTCTCCGTCAGCTCCACCAGAGAGAGACATGCACAGACGGAGACATTTTGTCCTCATGCTTCTACGTCTCCTGAGAAATGTGCAAAGCAGTTCCCCGCCAGGACAGCAGAGGGCGTAGCGCTGTTCTGGGTTATCCTGTCATGTAACCAGTCCAAGATGGTGTGTTTATAGTGTGTTTTTTGTATTTGAGACTGTTTAACATGCACATATTTGTCCTCCTCCACCCCTTCATGCCCCCACCACCTCTAAACCCACGTTTCCCGTCATTTCCGTCCATGAATAAAACACTTGCTGTGTATCTTGTCACTCTTCCAGTCACGGGGGAATAAAACGTTCATATTTAAGAGTTTTCCCACGAGGCATTCTTCAAGCTGCTCCGTGTCTGCCGCTAGATATCCTCGGCTCTCTTTATGATTTTGAGAGCGCAATGGCGGCGCTGTAGATGACAGTGGCGTCCTGACCAATCGCAAGCTTGCATTCTCCATCTTGACAGACGATGTTTAGAAAAGAGAGCTCGACTCCATTCGTCCTTGCGAGCCTGTCGGAGAGCCCTCAAACGGACGGATAACGGTGCTGCGTGCGTCCGTCCCGATGCAGACAGAGAAGTATAAGTTAGGCTTTAGGGAGACCACAGAAACACTGCAGCTCTTCGAGTTTCCCTGTTGAGTCGCTCAACTGCACTTTTGTGGCTAAAAGTGCCCGAAAACATCAGTTAGCTTCGAGTTAGCTCCGGGTTAGCTAAGGTAGCTCCCCCTGTTGGCACTTAGGTCTGTGTAGCTTCGGGAAGCCTTGTAGCTATACTGGTCCAGAGTTTATGGGTGTCAATCATGTGCTCCTACCCTTACAGCTCCACCCTCAGCTCCACCTCTTTTCTCATTTTAGGATTTTCTGAACGTGATGTGACGTGTGACACGACCAAGATGGCGGCAATTGGAACCACAGAAAGCTATGGGTGGGGTGTCACGGCCCTCGGGGTAGTGCCATGGTTTCTCCAGGAGATGGTGCTATTCAAGACCTTGGCTTGACCACAGCTGATCCCCATCATGTCTGGTGACTCAAGAGAGACAGAGATCAGTGGTTGGGAGGTGTTGCTCGTCTCTGCTACTCTCCCTTTGAGCTCGTCCTCAGATTCATTCATAGACCGTGTAAATATTATTCCATATTGTGTGATTGTTTGATTGTAGATTAGGATAGGTCTGTTATAGATCTTGTTAAGCCGTTTGGTACGTTTGCTATAAATCTTGTAATCAGTTTATGGTAACTTTAGCTTTCTACAGTAGTTCACCTCCGTAACATTCCTACTCCTGTCTTAAATCTGGCTCCTTTGGTTTATTCCGGAGTAACCCAGTTCCCCCTCTTTTTGTGTGTGTATTTTATTTTCTAACCCTTAACCCTTGTGTAATAAAGCCTTTTTGACTCTTTTACGACAAGTGCAAGGGTCGAGTTCTTTAAACACAAGGGGTGTTACGTCCCAACTGCACAGATTCCTCTACCGGGACGCAACAAGGGGTTTGTCCAGCATTTCTAGTCATTGGGTAGAAGCTGATAAAAATACCAACGAATGTTTTCAGAAACACTCACAGGTATCTAAAGGTTTTTCACACACTGGAGGCTCAAATGTGGTAGTCATGTTCAGGAACGAGCTGATCCCAACAGCTTCTTTCTGTTTTTGCCTCTTTCTTTGTGTTTCGTTTCACTTAAACATCATTTCCAAATACACGCTGAACTCTTTGTATCATTATTTTCTGATTTAGAAAACGCCTGGAGAATCATCCTAAAGCTCACCTGTAGGACAACAGATGGGACAGAGAAGATCATGGCTTCATTGAAGATTGGATTCGTGTCGTCTCTTTTTGTGGAAGTCTTCTTCTTGCTGATCTTCTTGCCATCTTGTAGGAGATACACTTTGACAAATGGATCTGGTGATCACACACACACACACACACACACACACACACACACACACACACACACACACACACACACACACACACACACACACACACACACATGTTTTATTAGACAAGTGTGACCTTTTAGTGGTTTATGAGGACACAACAATCCCAAACATCTGTTCAACAGGGGCGGATTTAGGACTGAAGAAGACCCGGGGCTTAACACACGCGCGCGCGCACACACACACACACAAACACACATGTAACACACACTAGTCTTTTCATAAAACATTCGGGGCTTGAGCCCAAGTAGCCGGGCCTAACGCCGCCCCTGCTGTTCAACATAAAAAGTAAGACAAAAGTGAATTTGACCTGTAGACGACAAATCTCACAAATGTACTTTCAGAACTTAGAAAACAGATATGTGACATTTTACAGGTTTATGAGGTCATGGGGGCAAACATGAAGGATCAGAGGTGTCGAACTCAAATTCACTCTGGGTCAACATGAAACAGTTTGTTTTTTAAATGTAGTTCATAGTCAATATTCACTTTGAAGCTGCATAGACTTATTTTAAGACACTTGAATCTCTCGCGGGCCACATTAAATGATGTGGCGGGCCACATCTGGCCCGCAGGCCTTGTGTCTGACTCATGTGGTTTACATGAACAGTTATAGACGTATGCTTAATGGAGACCTGTAAACACACACATTAATATCTCGTAATAAGATTTGCTGTGGTGTTTGTGCAACAGGGCTGAACAGCATGAATGTGAGGGTTGTATGGGACATAAAACAAAGGGGTTAAATATCTCAGGATTGTGTTCATGGGGGAGGGAATGATGATGTGAGAAGTTCAACGGTAGATCTGGGCAGCGTCTGTAGGGCTTCAGACACAAATTCATGAAGCAAAGCTCGTGATTTACTGATTGGTAGATATTCCAACTCCCAAATACGGTCACGAGCTTTTGGCTAAAAGAAAAAGAACAAGAGTTTCCACTGCTGGTTGGTCAGGCTCAGCCTGCAGCTAGGGTGAAAAGCTGTCTGGGAGAGGTCACTGACCCCGTTCCTCCAAGTTGAGAGAAGCAAGCTGGCTTGGTTCTGGCATGAGGTCAAGATTCGTCATGGGGGAGGTGTTTTGAGCATGTCCTGGTTGGAAGTGACCCCAGGCTTGAGCCAGGATCGAAGGGAGAGGCTTGAGAGATGATGTTCTGATAGCCTTGTATTTATTAGCCTGTTCTGTCATTTACTAGACCAACATGTAAGTAGAGGGTGTCTCTTCAAACCCGTCCTAATGTTGACACAGCATACGTCTCAGAGTGGGGGTTAGGGTTAGCACGGGTGTGATCCAGGCTTCCATCACATGATTACTACATCCATGCCAGCTAAAGGGATGGACTGATGATATACCCAGATGAACCCGACCCATTAAAGCTAAAATGGGCAAATCTGTAAAACAAGCTGCATAGTATAGCTATAAATATATTGTGGAGAATTAAAAAAAAACAATTAAGTTGTTCCCCCAACATTTGTCCGCCAATAACACGGCTTGGTCCCAAACCAACTATTCCCAGGGTCCTCCACTCATCCCACAGTCCTGTATTCAGCACCAGAACGCCACTGGTGTGAGAGGTTCTCCGCTCAGTAACATCAGAGAAGGAGAAACAGCCGGCTGCTACCGCCTCAGCTTTGGGACAAACTACCAGAGTCCCAAAATGAAAAAGTCCATTTGACTTCACGGAAAACAAAAGACATCTGGACCTAGAAACACTGGTGTTTAGCGCTTTTTCCTTAATTCCCCTTCCAAGATAATTAATGCTGTTTATGTTTATGTTTATGTATTTAGCAGACGCTTTTGTCCAAAGCGGCATTTTGCCCTTGAGACTAACAACAACAATAACAACAACAATCATTGACATCAGTCATGGAGAGGAGGGAACAAGGAGTGGACAGTAGAGAGGGGGGACGGGTGCAGGCAAGGTGCTAGTTTAGAAGATGCTCTCTGAAGAGCAGGGTCTTCAGGAGTTTCTTGAAAATTGAAAAGGAAACCCCTGTTCTGGTAGTGCTTGGTAGATCATTCCACATTTGTGGAACGATGCATGAGAAGAGTCTGGATTGTCCTGAGCGTGGTGTAGGCACTGCTAGCCGACGATCCTGTGATGACCGGAGCGGCCGGGCCGAGACGTAAGCCTTTGCAAGAGGATTCAGGTAGATGGGAGCCGTACCATCTCACACTTTGTATGCTAGTGTTAGTAATTTGAATTTGATGCGTGCTGCTAGCGGTAGCCAGTGGAGCTCAATGAACAGAGGGGTGACGTGTGCTCTTTTAGGCTGATTGAAGACTAGACGCACCGCTGCGTTCTGGACCATTTGAAGAGGTCTCACAGTACAGCCTGGAAGAGCAGTTAGAAGGGCATTGCAGTAATAGAGGCGGGAGATGACAGTAGATTGCACCAGGAGCTGGGTGCTTGTTTATTTTGTCAGTTGTACTTAGTTTATATACAAATAATGATAAACAGGAAAAAGAAAACACACAAATATCTCCTGACCTGCTGTGTTTTTGTCGTTGGTCCACACCAGATTCTTACACTTGGCCACGACCACAGTGAGGCGCTCTGCTGTTGGTAAATAGCTAAGAGACAACAAGATCTCCCCGACTGCATCCACAGCCTGCAGAGTCAAACCAACAGGGAAAACAGAAATGTGTGTGTTGGACGCAGCAATAACACACAGAATGTGACAGCAGCTGTTGGAAACATCTCCAGCAGCCAATCAGCAACAATGCAGCTGTATTGTAGAACCAGGAACACACTCAAACCTTGTTGACATCTTGGAGGTAGAGCCAGGCATTGAAGGGTCTGATGATCAGATCCAGGTCTGACAGCTTGAGCTCTGCTACCCCTGCACTGATGTTTCTTTCATCAGCATCAATACCAAAAGCAGCAAATCGCAAGCTGTACTCATCCAGAGCTGGCGGGTCCATAGGGACAGAGAATCGCTCATCAAAGATCACGCTGAATGCGTTCGTCTGCACCTGAGAGGGTCGTAAAAGAAGAGAGACCTGGTTCTGATAATGGAGACTGACTGTCAAACATGGTTGCAAATACACAGCAGAGCAGGAGAGGAAGTGAATGAAGCCCCTCCCACACACACACACACACACACACCTGTGTGATCCTGAAAACAACACCAGCACTAATGCCCTGGAGTCACAAACACATGCTGAATGAAGTGTGTTTATCTGCCACAGAAACAGGTAGAGAACAGCCGTTAGGCTGATTTTACTTCCACTAACCAAACGCTGGAAGCCGTGGTCTGAACAAGTGAGCGCGCTTGTGACCAGTCTAGATCCATGTGACGGAATTTGCTGCCACGACTGCAGTCACTATCTTAGTTTGAACCATCTGAAGTTGCCAGGCAACTAGGACACAGCCAAGACGAGCAGTTTTCACACTGGTGTTCAGAGTCAAACCAAAATAATCTGCTGCTCTGGTTTAGGGGCTCAGTCCCTGTGTGAAAATGTACATTAGGATGAATCCTACAACCCAGGCTCCTGCTTTGGGTTATGGTGCACACCCTTTGAGTTTGAGGATGCCACAGCAGTTAGGTTGTCTAGCCTACATGTGGAAACTGTGGGTTCCCAGTCAAGGCTTTTCTGGCTTCAGACTCAGAGCAGGAGGCGTAGCAGATGGAGGAACACAGCCTTGTTCTTCTCTCAGAGCAGTGATTTTACATCAGAATCAAAAATGTTTATGGTAATATTTCAGGTGTGAAAACTAACGTTAGCAGGTACACACACACACGGAATAGAAAACAGACTCAGCGTTAGAGAAGTCAACCACAGAGACAGAACTAGAAATTATATTTATAAAAACAAATGATCAGGTATGTAGATCCTGCCCCAACGAATCACACCGGCAAAGATGGCCGATGGTCTTTAGGAGCACCCCCTACACTCCAAAGGAACTCGGTCTTCTCAGCAGGTAGAGTCTGCTCTGACCCTTTCTGAGAGGAGCATTAGTGTGGTGGCTCCAGTCCAGATTGTTGTTCAGGTGAACACTCGGGTACTTCTGAAGTCCACCATTTCAGTGTCTGTTCCCTGGATGTCCACTGGTGTCACTGTCTTGATGCCGAACCGCAGTGGATCCAATGAAGACCTCACCAGGGGGTGAAGATGATTGAGGACCAACCTCTTGAGGAGCTTTGTCAAATGCATGCTATCAGCCAGTATCCGTTAAAGTCCTTTGGATGTGTGGTCTTCAGCACTGCTACTACATAAGAGGTCTTCTACAGCTTCCTTAGCTTCATGCTCATAAACATGTATCCCATAATAACCCATGGTTGTTGTAATGTTCATAAAGGGTCAATTTTGACCTATATATTGACCACACAGTGACCGGTCACCTACAGACATAAATCCACTTTCTAGGTGGATTTTCTATTCTATCTTCTAACACCCAGAAGATTCTGGAGTGCTTGTTACACAAGATAACAAGACAGTCAACAAACATTCTCTTCCATGGTCTCCAAGCCTTTCCTCTTATCACAACTGCAGGATTCCTCCCTCTGAATAAAAAGTGAACATTTGCAGCTCAAATGTTTAAATAATCATATGGTTGAATGAACCAGATGTTATACGAAATGTTTGAATAATCTGTGCCTAATTCAGTGAAGTTGAAATGAATATTGTCTTACAATGATCCGTTTACATCTTATGATCAGTACTGTTTGATTTAACAAGTTAATCATTATTTACACTCATACACAATGTTCATTAGATGCAAATTCAGGTTAAGGTCATCTCACATAAAGTTTAAAGATTCTTTATCCACAGAGCAAGAACAGCTGGAAGGTGTGGTTTTCTGAGAGATGTTTGGTAAAGCCTACAAACATGTCAAATTCTGATTCGCAGAAATCATAAGTGGATTATTAAAACTAGAGCGACTTCCTGAGTTATTCAGTTTCGAGCGGAACTCCGAAGTGGCTAATTCGGAAACAGCCTCCTTGACACACCTTGCTCTTTGACACACAGTCAAACCTGTTGGCACACTGCCAGCTGACACAGCCATCTGGCTCCTTAAAAGCACGTCCGTCTTAGACGCAACAAACCTTCCTGCCTGTTGTGACCGGGAGACATCTCTAGACCGGACTGGTCGTGCTGCGGTAATTCTACGAACTTCGGTGCCTTGAGGTCCACCAGACTTCCTGACATTCCGGTTCTGACTGGGGGTCTCCGATCAGGGTTTGTAGACACAACAGATTACGTCTGATGTTGTTTTATTAATAATCAACTCTAGTTTATAGCAGACAAATTCTTTTACCCCCAGAATTCACAATTTCTTTCAGATACAAAGGTTCTGATACACATCTACTGTACACCACACCACCTACAACACACATTACATCACCACACATACACTCCATCACACATCATTATTCATAGCTTGTCATGTATAATTATCAGTTTAGAAAAGAATAAAATTCCTTCTAACTATATACTTGACTCTGTCTGAATTAATACGAAGTGTGTTTATGGTTCCTGAACAAGTAAACAATCCTAAACTCTTCTGGTTAAACATTCAAAGATCAATCATGTTGATATTTCATATTTATATGGAATCATCACATCTTATTGGTCATAATTAAACTGCAGTTGTTACGCTATAAAGTGTGACGCTACAGTTGTGGACCCTTTCCACTTGCGCCAACTCGGCGCTCAACCTGACTCGAGATGGTTCTAATTAACGGGTATGTGGTTGCAGTGTACCAAGTGTACCAAGTCGGGTTAAAACGTGATGTCAGAAGATATTTCTGGTTGTTTTGCCTTGATGCCTGCAGCCTCTCACGGGTCCTGTCTGAGAAAACGCCAGACTGGGTAAACATTGTTGTGATGGAATCCTTCTCTGACCTCTCTGAACATCAAACAAGCAAAAACATTATAGACAATCCCTGAAGATAAAGGATTCCTTACCCTTGTGACCCCCACATTTAGCTCCTCGAGGCCAAGCGAGACTCTGATGAAGCAACCAGGAAAGTCTCCTTCCTCCTTCTCTAGCAGGTCTTTGCCCTGGTGCAGTGTGATGTGGAGCAGCTGTCGTGATGGCTCAAACTCCAGGGTCACCTCCAGCTGGCCCACTGTGAAGTCATGGCCAAAGTTATTGGCAATGGAGGAAATGGAGCTGAGCGAGTCGGTAGATATGGATCGGTTCAGCTGAGCCAAGCCAGTCGGGTCTAGCTCCCTGCTCATCAGCTCCAAGTGGCCCAGGTCCCTGAAGCCATCTGGGGTGTCTCCGAGAGCCAGGCTGGGCTTGCGGCTGGAGTTGGTGGAGGTACGCCGTTGATTGTTGGCAGCAGCTCTCTGGAATTGGTCAACAATGGAATCACAGTTGCTCATTTATTTGGGAAAACAATCTATAGTTCATGTTTTACAAAACAAAGTGGTGATTCATGGCAGCAGAGCTGTGCTGTTTCTGGGGAAAACTATGGAGAACGTGATCCCTGATCATCCTCTTTACCAGACAGTATTCACAACAGGTGAGTTAACCTTGTTAGCTTAAGCTCGTGTGCTAGCATCACAATATTGTACAGATTACTATCATGTACCAGACAGTTAAAGTAGTGTCGCTCAGTTACTATAATATTAATTCTAATGAGCCTCTGTCAGCTGTCTCATACTCGTTAATATCCGTTCACCTAACGTAGTTTAGCTTAGAGAGAGGGAGAGAGACGTGTGTCATCCGATTCTGGAACTCATGCGGGCTTCTGTGAGCTGGAACCGACCCAGACACAAGCTAGCCAGTCCAGCTAGTGGTTTTAAAAGCTGTGCTGATCTTCTCCTGGTGGTCCAAGCGCTGGTTCTGATCCAGTTCTGACCCGGAAACCAGCTGGCCCGCTGAGCCACACGTCTCTTCTGGTGGTCGTTCTGACCTGGTTCTGACGGTGATCTGAGCTCCAGAAATCCACATTTTATTTTTAAAACCCTGTCACGGGTCTGCAGAGCCCAGCGCAGACCTCCTTGTACCGGTACCGACTAAAGGGCCATTATGGTCGTTGTTTTTTGAAGCCAACAAGAAAGTGGCTAAAATTGCAGTTCCCCCTTCATCCACTAGGAACTGGCAGCAGAAGTGAACAAACCCTCATTAACTCCCATGTTAAAAATGCCAACTTCACAGCAGAAATAAACATGTTTACAGCCTGGTGGTGTGCTGCTGCTGTTTGGATCGCTGGCTGTAATGCGCATAACACTCAAGCTTGCAATATAAAGAAGGACAACACCTGTCCGCCTCCAGCTCGGCTGTGTGACTGCCCTAACCTGTCCTGTGGGACCCTCACCATGTGACCCTCATGTCCATGCTGTCTCTGGAGGAGCAGATAGGAAACAAGATCTCCTGTAACTTCAAATGAACCTAAGCTTCCTCCCAGTTTCTCTTTAAGCTGAATTTAACATCAGTTTATCATCAAGAAACAAAAGAATAAAGTGGAACAAGAACTTCTATATTCTATTTCTCTCTCCTTCTAACTTCTCCATGTCCCTAAATAAAAGAGATGGATAGCTGCCGTCTCTCTCTCTCCCCAAGACCGGATCTCCCGACATCACAACACACTGTTCGACTCGATTTTCATTACTTGACTGTCGACTTAAAAAAAATTAAGTCATGCAGCCCCTAGTGCCTATGTCATGGGGTCAAAGGTTATCTGTGCGGAGTTATGTTTTAAAACGTGACCGTGTTTAAATAACTGTCTTAAATATTGTGTTTTACAAAATTAAGCATTGATTAATGTCTTTATCTTCAGTCTGCATTTATATATAATATTTATATTTCATGAACCCGCCCCAAACCGCACCGAACTGAAGTAAAAATTTATTGACCCGATCCAACCCAACCCGCAAGTACTGCGGGTTAGAAGTCAATCCGCGCATCACTACCACCCGCTACTAGCTGGACGCCAGCCTCCAATTAGTGTCTCTGACTCCCAAACTTACCTCAAGTTGTTCATCTGTCTTTTACTAGTACCAGAACTCTTAATCCGGTCCCAACGTGTCCGTACCAGAACTCCCGACCCGGTCCCAACGTGTCCATTCCGAAGTCCTTCTACTCAAGTCTCCTCTCTTCCTGCAGCCTGTGGTCTTGCCCAACATGCTCCAGCGCTCATCCGCTAGCCAGTGGCTAAATCAGAGTTGTTTACTTTATCTCCACAACACTTTACTAACAGTGATGTAGTTCTCCGTGCATTACTGAGACGCTCTGACACAGAGGGCTTCTTCTCAAATGTTATCTTTAGACTTGGGTCTCCTTTTGCTGGTAATCCGTGGGAGTTTACACACAGCATGCACAGCGTCGCCCAGGCTGTAGTCATGGCTAACTAGTAGCTTGTGACGCCCATCTCTACCACGCCAGCCGTGAGCCACGATTAGCTGGTGCCTAATTCAACATTGTTTACTTGACCTTCACAGCGTGTCCCTGGCTCACCAACACTCCTGAACCAGCCTTGGCTAACGAGCAGCCAGTGATCGCTCCATATCCATATAAACTGGTAGCAGCAGCCAGTTTGTTTACATCGAGGCGCCATGATCCACGTGAAACTGGTGTTGTGGAAAATTATGTTCCCCTGAAATATTCTATTTCCCATAGGCAGTCTAGAGCAAATATTTCCAAATCCACAGAACTTATTGTCCATTATGAGGACTAAACTACCTCAAATAAAAGATGGTTAAACTAAGTGACATGACATCTTTTTACAAAAATGATAAATAAGCTTGCTACAAAAGAGTGAACAAGAATGTTTTTACTGTATATTTTTGTTGTTGTTAGGAGGAAATACAGATAAAAATCACAAGCATAAGATTATTACATTACATTACATCATTTTCCAATAAAAGTTTATCACAAATGTTGTAAAAATAGCCGGAAGTACGATCACCCAACATGGAGGGACAGAATATTTTCAGGAGAACACAATTTCTCACAACACTTGACCTCCCGGCTGACGTCACCCCTCCTCCGTGTGTGAATCATGACAGCTTCAAGAACAGAACTAGCTTGCTTCCTTCAGAACTGGCAGGCTGATTAAACAGTCATAATTATAAATACTTTTTAAAGAGGTCGAGTAGCTTGTTTTAAGCTTTGTGTGGGTTAGGCTACACAGGTTGAAAATTGATTATACATTCAAACTCATGAGTGAGCCACCGTAGCTGCAATACTGTCTCTGAACTGCATGGCGCTAAAGAGTCACATTTTTTCATCATGATTTCAATGGATTTCACACATGGGACCTTTAAAGCTCTTGTTCACTCAGTTTTTGGTCTGTAGCTTGAATGAATGACTAGTGAGTTGTTTCCTGGGAAAAAGCTTCAGCGGGCCTGTTTAAAGGGTACAATTTAGTGGGAAGAGAGGGGGTGGCAGGATTACGAGTCTGACTCATTAAGATTTATGATATGCAAACCTCTTGCTTTTGATTGGCAAATGGCAACATGACTCTTCCTCTGCCTTTCGTCAATCTTCTTTCTTGGATGAAAAATTTAACATTAACCCTCTCAGGCTCAAAATAAGTTTTGATAAAAGGACAAAACACTAGCTGCGCAGTGGTTAGAGCTGTTGCCTTGTAGCAAGAAGACCCTGGTTTCGCTTCCCGGCCTGGGATCTTTCTGCATGGAGTTTGCATGTTCTCCCTGTGCATGCGTAGGTTCTCTCCGGGTCCTCCGGCTTCCTCCCTTCTCTATCTGCGTCCTCTTCAGCACATCCTGAGCTCCTTCAAATGAATCTCCTACCATCTTTATGCAGATGACATCCAAATGTACATCTCCTTTAAGCCCCATGAGATGTCTAAGCTGCAGCTGTTACACACCTGCTTAGACTCTATCAAAACCTGGATGGCTGGGAGCTTTCTACAGCTGAATGAAGATAAGACTGAGATCCTCATCTGTGCCCCAGACAAGCTGGTTCCCAAAGTCAGAGACTCTCTTGGTCAGCTTGCTCCTCACACCAAACCTTCTGTCAGGAATCTTGGTGTGACCTTTGACCCAGCTCTCACCCTGGATTCTCATGTCAGTTCTCTTGTTCGCTCTTCCTTCTTCCATCTCAGGAACATTGCTAAGCTGAGTCCCATTCTGTCCCGCTCTGAACTTGAGACTGTTCTCCACACCTTCATCTCCTCACACTTAGACTACTGTAACTCTCTTTTCACGTGTCTGAGCAGAACCTCCCTGAACCGTCTACAGGTGGTTCAGAATGCCTGTGCTCGGCTTCTGACCAAGTCCTCCAAACACACCCACATCACCCCGCTTCTCCTCCAGCTTCACTGGCTGCCAGTCAACTCCAGGGTTCATTTCAAGATCCTGGTTCTGGTCTATAGGGCCTTACATGGACAAGCACCATCTTACATTGGTGATCTTCTTAGTACCTACACCCCCAGCAGGTCCCTGAGGTCCAGTGATCAAAGCCTACTGGTTGTGCAGCACCAGGCTAAAGACCAAAGGTGACAGATCATTTGCTGCTGTGGCGCCCAGACTCTGGAACTCTCTCCCCCTGAGCCTGAGATCAGTGGACTCAGTGGTCTCCTTCAAAAAGCAGCTGAAGACTCACTTGTTCAAGCTGGCTTTTGTATGACCTTCTTCACCACTCTCTCTTTATTCTGCTCTCCCCACCTATTCCACCTTCCTCAGGATCCACTGATTTCCCTCTTCCCTATTCTCTCTCTCTTTCTTAACATTTTCTTTACCACAATTGTCTCTTTTTGCTCATTTTAAATATATTTTTAAACATTTTCTAAATGCTTTTTATATTTTTACATTTTTTTTGTGAAGCGCCTCATGATTTTTATTTTGAGAGGCGCTATAGAAACGATATTTTCTTCTTCTTCTTCCCACAGTCCAAAAACACGACTGTTAGGCTGAATGGTCTGTCTAAATTGTCCTTAGGCGTGTGTGTGTGTGTGTGCATGATTGTTTGTCCTGTGTGTCTCTGTGTTGCCCTGCGATAGACTGGCTCTCTTTCCAGGGTGTACCCCGCCTGATTGCCCATTGACCGCTGGAGATAGCCCCCCCCCCCCCCCCCCCCCCCCCAACATACTTGCTACATTACACTCAGGCTGAGGCCTTTCCCCGGAGCTAGCTCTGCGGTCACGTGGGTCTGATGCTCATTAATTATTCAGAGTTTTAAGCAGTTAAAACATGTTTTGGAACCAGGCTGTAAACATGTTTATTTCTGCTGTGAAATGGATATTTTTAACATGGGAGTCAATGAGGATTTGCTTGCTTCTGACACCAGCCCCTAGTGGATGAGGGTGGAACTGCAATTTTTTTCACTTCCGTATTGGCTTCAATTTCAGACCCAAATTATGGCTCCGCTATCTCCTGCCAGGGGGGGTGGAGCCATGAATGCTAATTTCCCCAGTGATGTAGAAGAGACCTGATTGTTTTCCCGGGCAAGATCCCACAGGCAACGAGGGCTGTCCAACAGAACAAGTGGTTTCTGTGGGAATGAGAGATTTGAATCCTGAACAAATCCTGCTTTCACTGACACCTTAGCTAATTATGGGATTCAAACAGTTAAAGAATCTCTAATATTTCAGTTATTTGTTTCCAGTTTTTCTATAAAATATGTCAACAGTTTTAATTAAAGTTAAAGTCCCATTAGTCATCACACACTGGTGTAATTCAACTACGCGTTTGACCCATCCCCGTGGGGAGCATTGAGCTGCAGAAGTGGCTGCACTCGGGATTTAGTTGGTGGTTTAACCCCCCAGTCCAACCCCAGAGCTGAGTTTCAAGCGGGAAGGCGTTGAGTTTTTGGTATGAACCGACCGGGATTTGAATCCCGATCTCCCAGTCCCACGGCAGACACTCTACCACTGAGAAGGTAATTTATGTACTCCATGCAATATTTGCCCTGGAATTTGAAACTTAAAATTTCCTAAGCTCCCATTGAGCTCTGCCTCTGTTTAGCTCTCTTTCTGAATCAATGAACAAAGTAAAGTGACAAAATAATATGCAGATATTTTGCAAACGTACCTTTTGTCTGACTTCTGAGAAAGAGTTTCCATATTTTTCCTGCAGATATCGATAGTCAAAGTTGGGGAAAGGGGACGGCGCTGGGAAGGTTCCAGATCTCCACAACTTCCAGATGTTCAGCCCAGCTGCACCCAGCAGTAGGAGGAAGCCCACAAGGTAAATCCCCACCTCCCAGCCTGGTGGGTTACGGACCACTGGGTCAGACACAAAAAAACAATTCAAGAAAGCAAATGGAACATGTCGGCATTTCACCTGCAGGAGCCTCACAATGATCTATGTTTACTGTTTGGTTGAAATTCACACAAAAACAAGTGACATTGCCTGTTGGGGGGGGGGGGGGGGGGGTTGTTAACAAGCTTCTAATCACTGAGCACAGTTACACAATTTCAGGCTTTGCCATTTAACATTAGGTGGAAGCTTTAGGAGACAGCCAGGACACACCACTGAGATGAAAAAAGCTGATGAGCAGAAATGATTTACTGAAATGCTTCTCTTCATGCAAAATAGCAGCTGTCTTTGCCTCAGGAACACAATATACGGGACGGTTGGACAGCTTTTAAAATTCAGTCCCTCAGACCCTCAGAGGGTCTGAGTTTGGAGTATCCGGACGTTCCCTGGAGGTGGGTTCACTGGGGGCGTCTGGGACTGGGGGAATGCTGCCCCACACTGGAGGTGCTTGGGTTGCCTCGGGGGTGGACTACTGACGGTTGTGAGTGGGGCCCCTTGGGGGTATAGGCGGTGGCCATGGGTCGCTGCCTGGCAGCTGCAATGCCCCTGTGCAGGTCTGGGTGCGGGGCCTGGGGGCTCGGGGTGTGGGGTGGCCGGCCCCGTGCGGGGATCTGGGCGGGGCTTTGGGGGTCGAGTCCTGACATGTATGCTGCCGGGAAGAAGGCGGGACCATGTGGCAGTGCCTGGCCTGGGCTCAGGGACCTCAGGTAGATCTTGGCTCCTCTGCTGTCCCATCACAGGGGAGGGGGAAGTCCAGGAGGGGGAGGACCCAACCTTATCTGGATGTCCTATGTCTTATATATTCTGGACATTGTGCAAATGCAGGGATGGGAGTAGATATTCTGCTGGGGTGGGGCTGGGTTGATGCCCTCTGACTGGGGGGGGCAGGCCTGTGGGCTTGCCACTGATATCTCCCGGGACTCTGCTGGCTGCTGGTTGTGGCCCCCCCGGGGCAATCTTCTGTGCCTCTTGAGGGGGGCAGGGGCTTTTCTGGTTGCAGTCTCCCTGGGGTACCTGTGCTCTGGGGCGGCTCCTGGATCTCTGGGACTTGGAGCTCCCTCTATCTCCTACACATCTTTGGGGGGCAGATCTGTGGCTTCTCACACTCTCTATTGGACGCTCCAATAGAGAAACCTTACATAAACAAGCACGTGTACACACACAGCTGCTCACATGGTGCTCTCATAAGTATGGACTTGGGCACGTTCAACACATGTCTTAAGGCTGTGGTTGGAACTAAATGCACTGTGATTTATTATTGTGTGATTGTTCAGAAAAACAGTGTTAATTTTATATTTTATCATCAGGTTGATGCAGTGATAGCTTGCTCCTGTTGTATTTTTGTGTGTCCCATTTGCAGGTCTAGAACCAGACTATTGTTCATCATTGTTTGTTTATTTTTGTCTGGCAAGGCTGAGTCAAGCGGCATCGTGATTCTGACCACTGATTGGCTATAGGGGCAGAGTTGTTTGCCTTCTGTTTCCCTGCCCACAGTCATTTCCTGGTTCAGAGTCTGACAAAAAGCCATAAAACTGAGCAAAACATCCAGCAACACCACCATTTTCCAGCTGAGTTGTGTTTCTGTGGAGCATACATGTTACCTTACACTGTTTACTGATCATCTCGTTATTCTGTCGTGAGTAAAAATTGTGTACCCCTCCGTTTGCTTTCCATTTCATGACATCCTCATCTGTGCCCTAGACAAGCTGGTTCCCTAAGTCAGAGGCTTTCTTGGTCAGCTTGCTTCTCACACCAAACCTTCTGTCAGGAATCTTGGTTTGACCTTTGACCCAGCTCTCACCCTGGATTCTCATGTCAGTTCCCTTGTTCGCTCTTCCTTCTTCCATCTCAGGAACATTGCTAAGCTGAGTCCCATTCTGTCTCGCTCTGAACTTGAGACAGTTCTCCACACCTTCATCTCCTCACGCTTAGACTACTGTAACTCTCTTTTCACGTGTCTGAGCAGAACCTCCCTGAACCGTCTACAGGTGGTTCAGAATGCCTGTGCTCGGCTTCTGACCAAGTCCTCCAAACACACCCACATCACCCCGCTTCTCCTCCAGCTTCATTGGCTGCCAGTCAACTTCAGGGTTCATTTCAAGATCCTGGTTCTGGTCTATAGGGCCTTACATGGACAAGCACCATCATACATTGGTGCTCTTCTTAGTCCCTACACCCCCAGCAGGTCCCTGAGGTCCAGTGACCAAATCCTACTGATTGTGCAGCTCCAGGCTAAAGACCAAAGGTGACAGATCATTTGCTGCTGTGGTCCCCAGACTCTGGACCTCTCTCCCCCTGAGCCTGATATCAGTGGACTCAGTGGTCTCCTCTAAACTCACCTGTTCAGCCTTTGGTGGGACCTTTATCACCTCCCTCTCCTTATTCTGCTCTTAGTCCACCTTTCCCGGGATCCACTGATTTCCCTCTTTTGTATTCATTTTATCTTCCCCTTTCCTTACATTATTATTTTTTATCACAATTTTTTTTTATTTTAAACATTTCTAAATCTTTTTTGTACTTAACTTTTTTTAGCTGATTTTTATATTGAGATGCGCTATACAAAAGATCGCTTTCTTTCTTTCTTTCTTTTGTTTGTCAGACCCATATGAACTATGGCTGTTACTAGTATACTGTTGTTAATACTCTGTTCTATGTTCAGATTAAGCAAGTTCCAGAACGTAAGTGTTGCATTTTCCAAAAATGGTATGAGTCGTGACAACTGGCTCGATGACGCCCCTTTCTGCTCGCTGCAGCCAGGTCCTTCTCGGAGTTTAACCAAGACAGGCCACATGGCTGAGGGACCTATGGGGTAGGATTCAAGCCAGGATAGGAGTGAGCTCTCCCCTTGATGCAAAGGCTAGAGAGTATGGTGCGTGTGCCAAATGCAGCTGATGAATCGAGCAAGATGTGCACAGAAGACTTGGCAGTGGAGTAGCACACACACACACACACACACACACACACACACACACACACACACACACACACACACACACACACACACACACACACACACACACACACACACACACACACACACACACACACACACACACACACATGCGCGTGAACATCTACTCACCACTTAAATGATAGCTGGATGAATCCTCACTTTGGGCAGAGGACATGGTGCTGCAGCCAGCCTACAGGAAAACATTCACACAACCAAAACATTTAAAAGTGAAGCATAATTACCTCTCACTCTTACAGAGGGATCCCAGTAGTTGATCTAAAAAACTTTAAGCCCTTAAAGCTGATGCATTTGTTTGGGATTAACATTAAAATAAATTCAATTGAATTCAGTCTATTTAAATAGCTCCAAGTCACAACAGTTGTCTTAAAGGGGGAACTGCAGGTCAATTCAATTCAATTCAATTCAATTTTATTTATATAGCGCCAAATCACGACAAGAGTCATCTCAAGAGACTTCACATAATAAACATTCCAATTCAAGTCAGTTCATTAAGCCAATCAGAAATAATGTTTCCTATATAAGGAACCCAGCAAATTGCATCAAGTCACTGACTAGTGTCAGTGACTATACAGCAATCCTCATACTAAGCAAGCATGCAGCGACAGAGGAGAGGAAAACTCCCTTTTAACAGGAAGAAACCTCCAGAGAATCCTGGCTCAGTATAAGCAGCCATCCTCCATGACTCACTGGGGATCGAGAAGACAGAGCACACACACACACACACACACACACACACACACACACACACACACACACACACACACACACACACACACACACACACACACACACACACACACACACACACACACACACACACACACACACACACACACACACACACACACACACACACACACACACACACACACACACACACACACAGACAAAGTAATGTGTCTATAGTTATATTGTGATTTCTTAGTAAATATTCTGTTTGGTGAGAGATAAACTTTATTGTATTTATCCTAGTGGATCTATAATTAAACGGATAAACTAGTAGTAGCACGTCCAATGTCAAGGAAAGCAAAAAGTTATTATCAGGAGAAGGATAATGTTTAAGTGGTTAGCAGCAGTGTGCTAGACGATGGCCCCCTCCATGAGGCCACCACAGCTCAGCAGGTCACAGTGCAGCATCACAATATAGTACAGATAGTACAGTTAATATTATATTAACTGACCGATACTGTCTCATACTCGTTAATATCCGTTCACCTAACGTAGTTTAGCTTAGTGAGAGGGAGAGAGACGGCTGTCCTCCAGTTCTGGAGCTCATGCGGGCTTCTGTGAGCTGGATCTGACCCAGACACCAGAGAGCCAGTCCAGCTGGAATTTTTAAAAGCTGCACATCTTCTCCTGGTGGTCCATGCGGTGGTTCTGATCCAGTTCTGACCCGGAAACCAGCTGGCCCGCTGAGCTGTGATGCGCTCTTCTGGTGGCCAGTTCTGACCTGGTTCTGACGGTGATCTGAGCTCCAGAAATCCACATATACAATTTTGAACCCCACCAGAGTTTTGTCATGAGAACATTGAGATACCTCACATACTGATGGCATCTAAAAATCAACTTTTTTTTCTAAATAAAGAATAATTTTAATCACAATTGAAACGTACAATCCTAGAAAAACCTTGTCCAATCAATGTGCATTGGATAGAAATCCTTCCATCAAACTGTGTGTGTGTGTGTGTGTGTGTGTGTGTGTGTGTGTGTGTGTGTGTGTGTTTGTGTGTGTGTGCACACGAGTGAATTGTGAACTGGCGTTGTGATTTAGCACTACTTAGATGTAGCCATCCTTGCACTGACAAAAATGGAACTAAGTAACTTTTACTTTGAGTACATTTTGTTTACGATACCTTTTACTTTTACTTGAGTAAAAATTTAGGCAAGAACTTTTACTTGTACTTGAGTGAAAAATTATCAAAGTATTGGTACTCGTACTTAAGTAGGAAATTTTAGTACTCTTTCCACCTTTGCTTGACTGGTACTTTAAGGTTCCGTTTTTGTTTTGTGAATTATCTGGTTTACCCTTTATATGGTTATGCATTCTCTCCTAGACCGGGGCGTAACACTAGAAAACTGCTGTTATGTATTTTAAAACCAAATATCCACAATAAGCTTTTCTAATAGTGTTTTTGGACAGGATTTAATATAAATTAGAAAAAAATATTTTGCCTGCTGTTTGCTTTTTAGGCACTCCACAAAGAAAAGAATGAGCAGCAGTAAACAACTGAGTTCATTATACCAATGAATTTGTCTTTTTCCTCACCCAGGTTTCATTCTTCACTTCTCTCAGAGGACATTTTCATCACCTTTCATGAATCCACATTCTTCATGATAGTTATTGACAACGACACTACCTTGAGGTCGTTGTTGTGGGAAAGGTTTAAAGTGTACGTGTAGCTAAGTCATTTCTGTCTCTGCTCGTTCTGGTAAATATTGTAAAACTACACTGCAACAGTTGACGACGCAACTGTGTGATATAGATCGACAAGTTAGTCCATGGTCGGCTCAATAGCACTCCCCAAGTTTGAGTTTATTCTGGATTTTGTCTTTTCCAACTGGTCAGAATTACGCTCATCACTCAGTTCCTCACTAGGGCATCTAGGAGCTGTGTCCATCAGTTAATGAGAGGCTGCAGGGGAACAGAGCTACCATGCAGCCCCGGACCAACATTTGTTTTAAACCGTTCACAAAAGAAATTGAAAAGCCCCAAGTTCATATGAAAAACATGGCAACAATGAGTGGAGATACACTTCAGGCCACGACCGTTAGCGGCCATGGAACTGGAGGTTGTTGCAGGATCCAAGTGCAGGAAATCCAGGAGGCAGCCAGGTAGGTTAAAAACCCAAAAGTTTATTAAAGTCTGTGGTGTGTGGCAGGAACAGGAACAGGAACAGGAACAGGAACAGGAACAGGAACAGGAACAGGAATAGGAACAGGAACAGGAACAGGAATAGGAACAGGAGCAGGAACAGGAACAGGAATAGGAATAGGAATAGGAATAGGAACAGGAACAGGAACAGGAGCAAGAACAGGAGAAGGAACTGGAACAGGAATAGGAATAGGAATAGGAATAGGAACAGGAACAGGAGCAAGAACAGGAGAAGGAACAGGAACAGGAACCGGAGCAGGAGCAGATAACATTGACACAAGAGTTGAGCCTCCCGCTCAAGCATAACATAACTGTGGCTTCATTGTAGATCACCATCACCAGTGTGTATGAAAAGGTGAATGACTGGTTAGTTATAATGTGCCTTGGGGGGGGGGGGGGGGGGGGGGGTGTTGTAGAATCCTAGAAAGTGCTATAAATTCAGGCCATTTATCATTTAGTGGAAAAAGAACCATTTCTTATTAGGTCTAATAAACTAAAGAAATACTTTCGGACAAAAGCAACCTGAGCTTTGTTTTCATGCAGTTTCTACACAAGAAACAAAAATGTTTGCTGGCATATGAGTCATCCGCAACCCCCACCTCCCCAGCCCCATTTGTAGGAATGCCCCATATCTCAGGAGCTTATGGAAGTGGAAGCATTACACTAATGACATATTAAAAAGGCTGAGGAGGAGGGCTGCAGAGAGAGAGTCTCTTCCAGTTGGCAAGTCACATCCGTTCAGGCCAATTATAGGGGCTGGTGCAGTGCAGGTCCTCTGACAGCTGCTGATGTGCTCATGGGTCCATTTGGAAAATCTCTAACAGGGAGGGAAGCTCTGAGATCTACCCAAACATCAGCTCACCTGAGCTGACGTGGGAGTTCAGAAGGTCCGCATCGAGCATAAAAGAGGAGGAGGAGGATAGGATGACGAAGAGGAGAGAACAAGACGGAGGAGGAGAGAAGTCCTCAGACGGATTTAGTAACAAAACCAGACCGCGTGGGTATTCTGGTGCTTCAAAAGAAGATGGAATAATAAACTAGAGCAGAAAAATAAATGGAGAATGCACTCGCTACATCAAGTCGTCTTTCCAAAGATGTGTATTTAACAAACAGTGGTGTTTTTTTCCCCAAATGTATGTATATACATATATATATATATATATATATATATATATATATACATATACATACACACACACACACACATATATATATATATATATATATATATATATATATACATATATATATATGTATGTATACATATACATGTACATATACATACATACATATACACACATATACACACATACACACACACACACACACACACACACACACACACACACACACACACACACACATATATATACATATATATATATATATATATATATATATATATATATATATTTATGTATGTATGTATGTATGTACGTATACTTATACATACACACACACACACACACGCACACACACACATATATATGTGTGTATGCAGGGGCGCAGATAGGATTTTCAAACTGGGGGGACAAACTTCCAATGTACCCTCCCCCAAACACATACACACACACGCACGCACGTTAGAGCTGAGGAAAATAATCAAATAATCGATGCATCGGGATGCGGACATAAACGATTCTGCATCGTAGAAAAGTACGCCATAATCGATTATAGTGGAATGTAGTTTTGTTTTTTTAACGGCGGCACCAGCGCAGCATCCAAATCTGTCAGAGTGAGCGTCCTCCACATTTACCAAGTGGTTCTGCCTTAATGTGGTACTGCAGGGCTGAGCGCTAGAGTTATAACCTGAGACCGAACCGGAACCGAATCAGCCTGACCAGTTCTGTTGGATTTGGGCCGTGAATTATGTTAATTGAGCGGGTTGTCGCATGGCGCGCTCCGCTCGCTCTCACAGCAACTGAGAGAGAGAGAGAGAGACATTGTCTGCTCACACAAGAGAGAGGATCGGTGGACGCTCCTCCAAACACGCATTATTATTTTCATTATTTAATTATTATTTCAACTCAAAGTGCTCAGTCAGACTGAGTATTGTGATGTCGGGAGATCCAGTCTTGGGGAGGTGGCAGAGGAGAGTGACGGCGGCTGCAGCGTAATCATCTTTTATTTAGGGACACGGAGAAGTTAAAAGGAGATAGAAATAGAAGACAGAAGTTCTTGTTCCACTTTATTATTCTGTTTCATGATGATAAACTGATGTTAAATTCAGCTTAAAGAGAAACTGGGAGGAAGCTTTGGTTCATTTTAAGTTACAGGAGATCTTGTCTCCTATCTGC